CCTAGAGTTCTTTGTCTAACTTTCCAGGCAGGGGCTAGGTAAAATTCCAGGTGAGCGTCCTTTGTTCAGAAAGCCCGCCAACAGCCCTGGAGGGAGGGGCTCTGTTGTGGGCCCAAGCAACCAATCTGGAATCAGAGTCAAAGATCAATCATTCCAAAGGAAGTTTAAAAGAACTCTCACTGGAAAAGAACATGAATGGGGCGGGAATAACTTCAAAGTTAAAACTGCACTGCCTCTTACCTGTGCGGAGGACTCCTTCTCCAGATACCTTCCCACTGTAACATGGGAACTGTCTTTCACTCTCTACCTATGTGGATTTCCCTCTCTGGGATCCCGTCCCACAACAGCATGGGAGCTCTCTCTACTTCTCTCTCTCTCTCTGCCTAATAAATCACTTTCTGCAAAACTCTCTGGGTCAGTGATATTTATACAAATGGTAAGCCTGCCGCACCTCCAGGGCCTTTTCCCCCATTCCTAGGGCAGGGGAGGCCAAGAACCTGGAACACCTGGTTACATCCCTACCCTGGGCTGCTCCAGCCAAAAGCCATTTTCTGATAGGATAAATGCTGCCTTTGGTTACCACTGTGCTCACTAAGCCGTGGTATTCTGTAGACTTCCACTTCCACTGCTATTACATTGTGGTGGCAGTACCAAGTCTTCAGAGATGCAGGACAGTATTCTGTGAGGTAGGTGCCGAGATCTTACTTAGAGGGCTGGTTGATGTCACTAGATCTCAATTTGCTCCTTAATTTTCTCCCCTCTCTGTCGTGTATGCTTTTATTGGGAAAGAATCGTAGAGCCAGTAGACATGAGTACGTGGTGAGTCTGATATCAGTTAGGTTCATATGTAGGTTTTTGTTCATATTTTAATTATTTTCACAACAAAATCATCTCTAGGACCACACAACTCCTAAGTCTAATGAGATTTTATTCAGTTCTGTCTAAAAAGTAACTTTGCCTCTGTGTTGTTAATTTGCTGCCTGTACTTATAACATATAATCTTTCAATAATTCTAGGAAAGGATTTATAGTTGAATAATATCCATTACTATTTTAAAGCCTCAGCTCATGTTCATCAGTTCTCATTTCAGCTTTCTTTCTTTCTTTCTTTCTTTCTTTCTTTCTTTCTTTCTTTCTTTCTTTCTTTCTTTTCCTCCTCCCTCCCTTCCTTCCTTCCTTCCTTCCTTCCTTCCTTCCTTCCTTCCTTCCTTCCTTCCTTCCTTCCTTCCTTCCTTCTCTTTCTTTCTCTCTCTCTTTCTCTTTCTTTCTTTCTTCTTTCTTTTTCTTTTTCTTTCCTTCCTTTCTCTCTCTCTCTTTCTTTCCTCTTTTCTTTCTTTTTCTTGCTCTGTCACCAGGCTGGAGTGCAGTGGCACAATCTCGACTCACTGCAGGCTCCTGCCTCAGCCTCCCGAGTAGCTGGAACTACAGGCACATGCCACCCCACCCAGCTAATTTTTGTAGTTTTAGTAGAGATGGGGTTTTACCATGTTGGCCAGGATGATTTCAATCTCTTGAAACAACAGTTGCTGCCACTAATTTTGGCCAAAATTTTCCTTTCTTAGTGATAGAAAGACTTCCTTTCTTAGTGATAGAAAAAGCGCTCACCCAAAATGTGGGGCTCACCCAAGAAATCTGATTTGAGACATTGAGCTAAACTTCTAAAGATTACTCTTTCATAGACATCAATTCCTTGGTCTTTTGAGATGGCTGTTGTAATCATATTTTGTACTTTGGATTTATAAACCCTTGCTTCACAAAAAATTTGTGTTTTCTGCCTGTGATTTTGTAGTTTGTGTAGTGCACAAAGATTCAAGACAGAGGACGCACATGACTGAAATGAAAACTTTGAGGCATGTGCTGAAGTGTATATGTTTTGGCCGGCAAGAGTCAATTGTTAAATTTTCAGGAATTTTTCCAACTAGCTGATGTCACATTGATAACTCGGAATTGACGACGATGGGAGCATTTTCACCAGGAAGCAAAAGCTGATTTGGGACTCCGCTTTCTTCAAAGAGCTGATTGTTAAACTATCCCAGTACAACACTGGCTTGACTTACCACACCATACATTCCTTGTGAAGAGTGCTCTTCCACTTTCTAAGTGTATTAACTGTGTTTCTGACCCTCTGACATCCAGGGCCTTTCTGACCCAGGAGATACTGCCGCTCCCAGGGGTAGCCAATTCCTAGAGACGGTATATGACTAGTCTGTGGGTATGGCTTTCACATGCAAATCAACCCATCCACAGCTCACACTCTAGGCCGTCATACACATGTCCTAATCACCTAATCATAGACAGTCTCTATGCTCTAGAGACTGCTGAAATTATTCAAACTAGCCAGTCCTAAACCTGTTTATCTTGCCTCATGACTCCTGCCTCAGATACTGCAATGAAAGGGTTACCCATGTTTTCCCCTAGCTCCCTCTGCCTCCTGACCAGCCCTGGTGCTTCTCCATGTGGCCCTCCACGGTGTGGTGTGCCTCTTCCTCTTGTGATCTGTGAGTATAACATGCTGTGTCTGTGTTTTTTGTTGTTTGTGTTTCGTTTTCAGATGGAGTCTCGCTCTGTAGCCCAGGCTGGAGGGCAGCAGCATGATCTCGGCTCACTGCAACCTCCGCCTCCCAGGTCCCAGTTCAAGCAATTCTCCTACCTCAGCCTCCCAAGTAGCTGAGAATACAGGCACAGCCACTATGCACAGCTAATTTTTATACTTCTTAGTAGGGACGGGGTTTCGCCATGTTAGCCAGTCTGCTCTTGAACTTGTGACCTGGTGATCCACCCGCCTCGGCCTCCCAAAGTGCTGGGATTACAGGGATGAGCCACCATGCCTGGCCACATGCTGCGTTTTTAATGGCAATTTTCTCCTCATCTGTTGGCATTGTCATACCCATATAATAATACAATCCACATTTTAAAACACCAAATTATGAGCCTGGGGTCTTCCTCTCTATGGAGGGGCTACTTTTTCCCAATTATCCACACAGACTAGGCACCTCTTTTAATGTACACACAAGTGTCTGTAAAAATAACACAGTATATGGACTGTACCAACAGAAAATCATAATGTTATAAAGAAAGCTTAATTGATTCTGGTCACTGCCTTTGGGGGCTTCTTTGATGACACTAGGAAATTACCCATACTTCCCAATTTAGTGGTCTCCCTTTAAGCCAAGTGGTGGTTGTGATGGAGTGGAGGGACATGGGAGTCCTGTCCTCATCAAACACGTTTGAATCACATCAGGCCGTAGTTATGGTATGTTCTCATGCAGTCTAGATGTTTCTAACTCACTGTGTTCTGAATGGAATCAACTCTATGAAATGGTATCAACTCTTTTCTCCATCCAGCCCTTTCTTTTTATTTTTTTTTTTGAGACGGAGTTTCGCTCTTGTTGCCCAGGCTGGAGTGCAATGGCGCGATCTCGGCTCACCGCAACCTCCGCCTCCTGGGTTCAGGCAATTCTCCTGCCTCAGCCTCCCGAGTAGCTGGGATTACAGGCACGCACCACCATGTCCAGCTAATTTTTTGTATTTTTAGTAGAGACAGGCTTTCACCATGTTGACCAGGATGGTCTCGATTTCTTGACCTCGTGATTCACCCGCCTCGGCCTCCCAAAATGCTGGGATTACAGGCTTGAGCCACCGCGCCTGGCCCCATACAACCCTTTCAAACGTTCTTCCCTGATAGCTACCATGAATGCTTCTGACCTGCCCCAATTTCCTTTGGATTTAATCATGTACTATCCAATAACCTTCACCACACTTTGCCACTTTGCAATTAGTCACATTTAAACTGCTAGGATACCATCTTAACACCCTGGAATGCTTTTTGGGCTGTTAGGAATAAGACTTTCAAAGATTACTGTCAAAGGGGGAAGTTTTAGGGGAAAGTTACTGGCTTGGTTGAAAGGAGAAATCAGTAGAGTTCACTCCCAGATCACCCTGCCTCTGTTCCTGATGAGTCTGTTTTCCCAGTCAGGTCTACCTTGACCAACTCTGGTTTGTGGGTTTTCCCTGACATTGGGTGCCTCTGAGTGTGGCTTTTTCTCTCACTGTCAATATCCTTGAGGGACTGAGTCATGAATCTTTCCTTCTCTGGTTCCCTTCCTCAGACTTCCTGAAGGCCAGGCCCTGTCCCTAGCAGTTTGGACATTTCTTCACAGGCTAATCGCCCCAGAACTAGGTATCAGACAGCTAGAGACTGTCCCTATGCCCTAGGGACTGCTGAAAGTATTCAAACCAGCCAATCCTAAACTAGTTTACCCAGCCTCATGACACCTGCCTCAGACACCACGATGAAAGGTTTACCCATGTTTTTTTCTTCCATGATCAGGATTGGTTGAGCTGCACTTTTCTGTTACCGGTCACAAGCTTTCTCTTATAGCCATTTTTCTCCCCAGTCTTGGAAGTGCTGGAAGATCTTTGACATAGCATTTATTTCTCCTCCACGTCATCTTCTTTTTTGTAGTTTGTCCTTTTCTTGGGATATCCTTCAAAGTCTTAAACAAGCTGTCTTTGCATTTCTTTTTGGTATTAAATAGCGGTGGCCCCATGTTAACAATCCGACCTTATAACAAATCGACTGATCATCAACTTAGGTGACCAGACCACGTTAGCAGTAAAGACCAGATTAGTTAATTCATCCTCATCACTGCACTAGGCAGGATTTCCTAACCATAGCAGGTTAGTGATTTCCTAACCAAATATTCCTAATCCCAATATGTTGTTTCCCTTAAATATACATTGTCCCTGTACATACACTCTTTATAACTAGTGGGCAGGCGCCAGGACCCTGCAGGTGGATTCTACTGAGGAGAGACAAAGTTTTACTCTCAGTCTGAGTGGCAGTGGGAGCACAGGTCCCAGTCCGAATAACTGCATAAGTTCAAGGCTCCAGATGGAGAATGAAAATAACTGACATTTATCGGAGACTACAGGAATCTGTGATTTTAGCATAAAAATAAGTTATAGGACACACCAGAATAACTTGGTCATTTGAACACATTTATATTCATATGGGCTTTATTTATATTACACACCTGATATATTTTGAAGGAAAGCAAGTGTATAGTTATGAAACACAAGTGGCAGCAAGACTTATTTTAGACATGAATTTATGACCGAATGGCTCCAAATTGTTTGCAGAAGTAGATTCCCGGGAATAAATGTCAATATCCACCAATATGTAGTAACTTAGTAAATATATGATAACACTAGACCCTGTTAGGTTTTGAAAAATTCTCATGGGAAAGTAAGTAATGCTATGAAGTTCTGCAAATACTTCCATCACACACAGTTATGTCACTCAGAGGCTAGAGAAATATAAATTTACTTAGTGTTAGGGAGGGCACTTGGGAAGGAGGCAGGTACATAATACAATTATAAAACGTATCTTGCCAGGCCAGGTGCAGTGGCTCACGCCTGTAATCCCAGCACTTCAGGAGGCCGAGGCAGGCAGATCACCTAAGGTCGGGAGTTGGAGACCAGCCTGACTACCACGGAGAAACCCTGTGTCTATTAAAAATGCAAAAATTAGCCGGGCATGGTGGTAGATGCCTGTAATCTCAGCTACTCGAGAAGCTGAGGCAGGAAAATTGTTTGAACCCAGGACGCAGAGGTTGCGGTGAGCTGAGATCACCACACTGCACTCCAGCCTGGGCAACAAGAGCAAAATGCCGTCTCAAAAAAAAAAAAAAAAATCTAGCCAACAATTCAAATTCCTGAAGTCACAATGAAAGACTAACTTGTACTACTTTTTGTAATGTGCATAAATTGAGCTTTTATAGTAATCATTTTTTCTTCTTCCTCAGTATTGCCTTTCTCTATTTTAAGTGATTTTTATTGTAATGCTCTTTATTTTTAATGCTAGTTTTTAAAAATTTACATTCTTACTTTTTTTCTTTCTTGAGGTGCAATGCTGACAATTCTTATCTGAGAGGATGATCCAAACACTGGGAAAAATAAATATAGTAGAAATTCACTTAAATTCTGACATTCATGTAATGAGTGTAGGCAATATTTGGCATAGTAAAAGAACGGTGGGCATCTAATAATTATAGTTTTAAAAACTTCAATGATGTTAACAGTTTAACAATTTATTTCAGTTATTTAGTTCATTTTAAGGTTTTCAGTCATCCAAAACAACTCCATATATGTGACCTCTGACTTTTTATTCTTAAATCATGAAAGGAAAATTTCTTTTTTGCACTTAAATGTCAACATTGAACCTCCACTGAGAGAAAAATCAAGGCACAGACTGTCATCATTTTATTCAGTATGACGCTTTTGATCTTTTGCAGGAAGTTCTTTGTTCTTTCAGCTGAAAGTCTTAACATTTTACACGTAAGGGATACTGCATAAATGCTGTGTGGACTTACCAGCTTTCTGATGAAAGAGGATATTAATTACATATTGAAAATGGTCATGGTTTTGAAATGAAATGGGGTGCATTATTGGAAGAATGAAAAATACATCTCAGAGAAAGAAACCTAGTTCAACAACTTAAAAGAAAGAAAGAAAAAAAGCAAAAGTAGGTGTCATGGCTGAGCATCTTTGTTCTTGTTACTGGTCTTTAACTAAACAAAATATGGAAAAAATACAAAGCAAACAAATATTGGGGAAATGAATTAAATGTGCTTGAAAGATAGGGAAGAAAGATAGTGTCTAAGGAGCTATGATTGCTGTTTAAAAGTTTGCAAATTCAGTATTCTGAGTTTCTCCTAATAAAATACAATTAAGAGAAACATTGGCATATTTCATCAACTTTAATTCATGAGTCAGTTTTCTTTCCTTACTGAGAAGTTTTTGATGTACGCTTCCTGGTGGAAACTATAGAAAAATATCATGTCCTTCTATTTTAAAATGTCTCATAAAAATCAAAATAGTTACCAAAATCTCAAGGCATTTTGTTTCTTAGTATCAAAATCTATGGAAAAGGGGAGAAATAGACATTAAGGAATAATTTGAACCTATATATAATGTTTCCTTAAACATTATATGTTATGACCGTGCAATACTGCAATCAATTCTAGGAAAATACCTCCAAGAAATATATTAACCTCTGAGCTATGTTACGGATACTCCCACGATAGTGTTTTCACAAATGAGCTTTCTGTTGACCTTTCTGTAAAACTTCATTTGAACTATTTCAGTTAAAACTATGCCTTTAGTGTTAGCTCTTTCCTAGAAATTAGATGTTTGGCTATTTTTATATCTATGTGTGTGTATGTGTGGCTGTGATAGCAATGGTATTTATAGTTTCCTCCTAAATTACGTGTTTCTGAACCTTGGCAAACTGAACTGATTGAACATTTGGGTCCCATTTATTTGCCATACACTTAGCAAAGACACTCGTTTTCATCCGTTTCTTACTGCTGTGATGTCTAGAAACACATTTCAAAGAATGGCAATGTGCTTGTTTTCGGATTAATACAATTACAAAATTTTCAAATTTGTAAGACATTTACATTTTTAAACATTTTTTTCATTACTTATTAAAGGACTGAATTGGCTTCCAAGTCAATACTAAATAAGTGTTTTCAAAAAGCAGAAATAAAATTTCCAACTTTTAAAATCTAGATGTCATTATATCTAGCTCTATTATTGGTATTTTCAACCTGGGAATATTTTAATTCTGAGCATTGAGATGAATAAGAAAAATTTCTCTGTGATATTTACACAGGTCTATTTACATTTTTAATATTCACTTTGGAGTTGGCACACTGGAAAAGAGTTAGAGGTAAGATGACTTGATAAAGAAGCTCTTTTGGGCTGGGTGTGGTGGCTCGCGCCTGTAATCCCAGCACTTTGGGAGGCTGAGGTGGGTGGATCATGAGGTCAAGAGATTGAGACCATCCTGGCCAACATGGTGAAACCCCGTCTCTACTAAAAAGACGGAAAAAAAAATTAGCCAGGCGTGGTGGCATGCACCTGTGGTCCCAGCTACTCAGGAGGCTGAGGTGGAAGAATCACTTGAACCCAGGAGGAGGAGGTTGCAGTGAGCCGAGATTGTGCCACTGCACTCCAGCTTGGTGACAGAGCAAGACTCCGTCTCAAAAAAAAATAAAGAAAAAAAAGAAGCTCTTTTGCTGCTTACAGAACTAAATCTCTTCATACTGAGCCTAGAGTTGGTCCTTCTCATCACAATGCTATGCAGTGGCTTGGCAGCAGGATGCTAGCTGACCTTTACGCATACTGTTCAAACATTGTGGATTCTTCTGAGAGGGTGGACTTCAGAAGGTGCTAATGCTGCTAACGCACTGGAAGGAGTTTATGTGCTACGTGTTATTCTTGGAATAAAGTGGGCCTATCTTTCACAAGAGTAAAAGAATATGCAGTGCCACCCACAGCTCTACAAGGCACTCCCCTGTGTGGGTTTGCAAAGGTCAATTTTATAAAGTTACCGGGTTGAATCATTTTGTATAAATCTGTCATCAAGATGATCCATAACCTGTGGCTGTTTTAGATACACAAGAGTGGACTCTGCTGTTGTTATTCTGGAAAGATTTTTAAATTGTGCTTCACGGATAGGACTGTTGTGTTTTTGGTTCAGGAGAGAATCTAATGCAAATCCTGACACGTTAGTCCAAATAAAGAGCTGCATTCAGTTCAGTTATAACCGGCCCAGGACAAGACATGGAGCTTGGATTCTATGCAGTCTCTCAGAATAGCCGATCCTAGATGAGCATCAGTAAATGTTAACTAAGGACAAAAACGGGAACAGATAAAATCATCATTAAAATACACATGTCAATGCCTTATGATTTATATGCTTAGGAGAACTACTAGTATAGTATTTTTTTTGGTTTTATTTTCACTATATAATATCAACAAGACCTTGATTAGAGTCAGAAGCCACTGAGTGTTAAGGACCTATTATTGCTATACCCTGTTCTCTATGGGAAGTTATTTTATATATTTGTTCTGATAGCACCAGAATAGTTCTCTAAAAACAAAATGCTAAAAATAAGGGTCAATATTATTTAACAAAAAAAAATTATCTTATTCTTCCCACTAAAAAGTTTCAAAAAATAATTAGTATATTAAATTACATATTTAGTAAATAGATATTCAGAAAATGATGCAAAATTCCAAGCCATTTATACTTTAAAAAGCTGTAGCTGCCTATTTCCCACAGACTTTCTTTTTTCAAGGAAATAAAGGGAAGGAAAAAAAGGGAGGAGAGAGTAAGAGAACAGATGGACAGAGAAGGATACATTTTTATTTGGTAGGATAGGATAGAAATGTTCTGTGTTTTATAAGCTCTCCAATTTATATACAGTAGCCTGATATGCATTGAGGAGTGAAATCTGATATAAAACCAGCCTTCCCCAAAGGCTCGAAACAGACTTCTTCTTTTTTTTTTTTTTTTGAGATGGAATTTTGCTCTTGTTACCCAGGCTGGAGTGCAATGGCGTGATCTCGGCTCACCGCAATCTCCGCCTCCTGGGCTCAGGCAATGCTCCTGCCTCAGCCTCCCGAGTAGGTGGGATTACAGGCACGCGCCACCATGCCCAGCTAATATTTTGTATTTTTAGTAGAGACGGGGTTTCACCATGTTGACCAGGATGGTCTCGATCTCTTGACCTCGTGATCCACCCGCCTCGGCCTCCCAAAGTGCTGGGATTACAGGTGTGAGCCACCGCGCCCGGCCCTTCGAAACAGACTTCTACAATAATGCTTCACCGATTACTGTATTCATTGACACAACACTCCAAAACTGCACGATAGGCTCGGAAGCTCTTAACCACTGAAATATCAGCGAGTTGATTGAGTATGCTTGATCTAACAGCCTACTTCAATTGAACCCAATGGTAAGTAGTGAAAGGTCGACGCACTGTTTGAAGCTCCCTAATTCATGTTCATTCCCATACAAATTATGAGGTAGCCAAAATAGTAGTTAAGCATCTGCCAGAAGGTAAAGCAGAGGAAAGGGGGATGGTTAAGACATTATCACTATTTATCTTGCTAAATAAACTCCTGGGCTACACAGTACTTTCATTTGTATAAGCTGTTAGTGGGACTTTTGAAATGTAGGTGACATTTGTAAATTCTCCAATGAAAGGATACTACAATCTATTTTTTAAAAGACTGAATATGAAGTTCAGAGTGGCCTAAAAGAAGAAAGGCAACTGTCAGACACGTTTCCTCTCTCTTAGGAAGAGTGTCACTTCCTTATCTTGATCAAGAAATGGTTGATACTTACAGGCACCAAATTAAGATGTGCACATCTGATCTGCGAAGTTTGCCTTTTAAAAATCTGCAGTGACAAAGCTGTCCAGTGTAGCCAGTTTACAGCTAGAAGTGAAAGGGGATTCTAGCCAGCATTTGAAGGATAATCTTTAGGCATTATTCTTTTTCTCCTGACCTTATTTTTCTTTGAAACATGTTTATTAGCTTTTGGAAAACAGCTCATGAAGATACTGAAGTTTTCCCTTTCTGAGAAAAATTTCTGCTAGTTGGTAAAAAACACATTGATGCAGAAAGGCAACGGAGAGGCTTGCCAAGCAAGCTTACCTAAGTTCCCTGGCTTTGTGAGGTGAATGGTAAGTACTGTTACAAGTTATATTTTTAAATACTGAGAGGGATTACACTGCACCAGTTCGCTGAACAGGGGATGCCAGAGTGACATCTTGAATCAAAGAAGAATATGATCCATGATTCTGGCCACCTCCAATATGATTTCTGGAATGATAGTTGCAGAGATTCCCATTGTTTGGACCAGATACTGCATAGAAAGCTAATAAAATGTCCTGTGGCCAATGTAAGTTCTAAATGTTATTGTGTGATTATGCTACTCTGAGGGATAACCTCATCTGTCATCTGTCAAAATGTTCTTTTATCCTATTAAGTATGTCTAAGAGGCACTCTGATCATACACATCATATAAATAAATACCACTTTCTCCCTTCACCATCTTACTCATGTTTCTCTTTATCCTCTATGGGTTCAATACTGCAAACATCTAGGCTCCGTTCTTAGAGAACACTGTCTTGTAGTGACTCTTAACTCTGTGGCATTTCTTCATCACCAAAATGTCACCAACCCTCTAATTTCCCACAAATGTTGAGCACCCATAAGGTGTATCACCACACAAGAGCTCTATCGTTACTCACTACATGCCACAACAGAGCCATCTCTCTTAAAAATCTCTTCCAGAATTAACATATTCTTTGGTTTAATTTAAAATTAAATAGGCAAATAAAACAAGGAGAGTCCGAGGAGAATGAGAAGCAATTCAAATTCAAGTGAGTGAACTTCCTTCCCTCTGTCTTTCCTTCCACCGTGTCCTAAGTAGTAGATCAGTTGATTTGTGGGTTGAGCCACCCCTGGTCACAATTCTATGATGTCTTCAGCTATTTGAAAACTTGTCATAATAAACACTGTGTTCACCATTTTTCCAGACTAGCAATGAAAACCTTTCTAGTAATAATCTGTTATACAATGAATAAACAGTGTGATCATTGCACCTTCAACATTCACACTAACATAGTGACAATAGACCTCTCTTGCTCTTGTAAGAGAGTCTGTTAGCACCGTTTAATAGGTTTATCTCCACTGCATAGAGAATATGTCTAAAATGAGGAGTACATTCCTCACCATCTATCCATGGCTCTGTGTACATGTGAGTACATCGTTGCTGCCTTCTGGGCAAGAGGAAAGACGTCTTAATTTGTCCTTTGATGCATAAAAGAGTATGGAGAATTCAAATCAAAGTACATTAGTACACTCATGTTCTCTGAGCAGCTTTGTCACAGACGTCCTCCATTCTCTATGGTTTACCAGAAGTATTTAGGATTCCATTGTGGTCTTTACTTAGGCACTTAAGGAAAAGGTTGCATTCTACCTGTGTGTCATCAAACTTCTGAGCTGTCATTGTGATGGCCCTGTGGGGGCACCATGGGCTCGCTGCTGCTGGAGCCCTTCGGGGCATCCTTCCCCCTGAAACTTTCCTTGCCCCTGCACATCAGTACTGCGATGACAGTGAGGCAGATGGTGAGTAACCCTATCGCGATGCCTCCCACCACAGTGACCAGGCTGACTGCAGAGCTGGGGCTGTTGAGCTCCCGGGGAAGGATGCCATCCAGAGGTACTTTCCCATGGGGGATCTGCCTCTTGGTGCGGTCCAGGGCAATGTGCTGGATGTTTGTTCCCAGATTGTTTTCAGCACCAATCTCCCATGCCAGCGAGGGTGTGCTCCTGATCTCTCTCTTCTTCCGGCTGTTGGTGGTGGCTTGGGGCTTTCCTTGACTCACCAGAGAATGATACTCCACGCTTCTCTTGCCAATACCTCGGTGGGCATTGTCTTTTGATCTCACTGTATAGATCGTATGTATGTACCATTCTCGGCCCAGAGCGACCTAGAAAGCACAGCTCTATTTGTTAGGAGATACTAGATATCATGTCAACCTTACTCATGATTCTTTGCAAGAGAAATTCATGGCAGAGATATTAATAAATGATGATTTATTTTAGTCTGCAGAATTAACTTACTCAATATTTTTGAATGAGTACTATGTGTAAGTTGCTGTGCAAAGTACTCTATGATATATTCCATGCAACTCTTAAGGGAGTGAATATTTGGTACCTGTTGTCATAGAATGGGAGAGTGCTAAAGCACTATTAATAGAGTTTACAGTCTAGCTTATTCATTTAAAAAATGAGAAAATAAAAGGATGCAGCAGTTAAGTGAGGTGCCCAATGTTACTCAACCAGTGAGTGGCAGAGGCGGGACTGTAGCTCAAACCTTCTGACCCTCAGGACTCTTTTCACCATGTCTTGCAGATTATTGCATATGAGACCATAGGCAAAAACAAACAAACAAACAAAAAACAACAAAAAAACAACAACAACCAATTCTCAAGCTTTTCTTGGGCTTTGGAAAAGGATGGATTTTCTGATAGGTCTTTGAAGCATGCAGGATTTAGAGAGGTCAGATGCTTTGAGATTGAATGGCAAGAACAAAAATAAAACATCATACTTCAAATTATTGTTTGAAAAGATTCAGAATAACGAACATGCTTTCTTAAGATTCCTTCCTTAAGCTAAATGGAAATAACACATTTCTCCTGGATATCCTGTCGGGATAAATTTCGGTCAATATTCTAAAGGGTGCACTTGTTCCCACAGAGATTTACAGTGTAAGCACATCTTGAAATCTGTGACATTTGTCTGCTCAGTGTTGTGGCTGCTTCTGTACCCCTCCACTTTTGATCCCTGAGTCAGGAATTTGTATCTCAGTCTCCGAAATCTTTGAGAGAGGAGCGGTGCAAATTGCTTTTCTGAGTTTAGCTGTTCACACAAGATCATCCTAATTAAGATGCTCATGAAAAGTCAGCAGGAAGGAAGTTTTGAGTAAGAAAAGCAGATCACTCAACTGTCAGACATAGATATATATTGTGGGCGAAATAAGACTCTTCATTACCCATAGTCTTAAAATAATATGAATACATGAATAAAAGTGATAAAAGCTAGGAAAACCACATGTACTGCTAACAAAATAATAAAAGCTGGGTTGATGGCATACTCACAGTGCCCAGTATGGGGCTATGTGGTTTCTATGCCATATCTTGTTCAATGTTTCCATTAACTATATGCAGTATGAACTATTACTGCTATTTACATTTAAACATCTGAGGCACATTAATGGTAGCTCGCGTGTGGGTACACAGCTATTACAAAGGAGCTCATTTCTGGCCTACCTGAAAGAGGGGTGTTGAGTCGACTTTAAATCCATCAGATCCAGGCTGATTCACTAAGAGAACAGCTTCAGGGTCATCCACTGCTAGTTTGGCATTAAATAGGACATTTCCAAAACTGGTAGCTTGTGTCTCTGGCTGAGCTTTGTCCTTTAGGCAGTAAGGAAAGTGGTGATTGCTGTAGATAATGCCAGCTTTTGCAAGGACAGAAAGTTTCCCTATTTGTTTTGTGCAAGTACAAATTAATATAAAATGTCACCATTTGGTTTAATAAAAATGATAATTAAAAAAATTTTTTTTTCTTTTTCTTTCTTTCTCTTTCTTTCTTTCTTTCTTTCTTTCTTTCTTTCTTTCTTTTTATTTATTTCTTTCTTTCTTTTTCTTTTTTGAGACAAGAGTCTAGCTTTGTTGCCAGGCACCAGGCTGGAGTGCAGTAGCACGATCTTGGCTCACTGCAGCCTCCGCCTCCCGGGTTCAAGCAATTCTCCTGCCTCAGCCTTCCAAGTAGCTGGGACTACAGGCATGCGCCACCACGCCCAGCTAACTTTTGTATTTTTTTAGTAGAGATGGGGTTTCACCATGATAACCAGGATGGTCTCAATCTCTTGACCTCGTGATCCGCCCACCTCTGCCTTCCAAAGTGCTGGGATTACAGGCATGAGCCACTGTGCCCAGCCTATTTTTTTATTTTCTTAAGAGACAGGGACCTTCTTTGTCACCCCGGCTAGAGTGCAGTAGCTTGACCATAGATGGAACTTCCTGACCTAAGGAATCTTCCCACCTCAGCCTCCCAAGTAGCTGGGACTCCAGGCATGTGCCACGATACCTGACTAATTTTTTAAATTTTTTGTAGAGATGAGGTCTCACTATGTTGCCCAGGCTGGTCTCGAAATGCTGGCTACAAGTGACCGTTCCACCTTGGCCTCCCAAAGTACCGGGGCTACGGTGTGGTCATTTTGCCCAGTCTTATTTTTAAATATAAGACAAGCAGGCTGAACTTGGAAAAATCGATCTAGCTCATTGGGTCAAAGCACTTACCACAATTTTAAATCTATATAAGAGGGAAGGAGAGTCGGCTAAGCAGCCATATTCTGCATTCGTTGGACTATACTTGGGAACATAGCCATCGGCTCCAGTGCATAGAAACACCTTCTCAATGCTGCAGAAAAAGGATTCACCCAGGTTCTGGACCGGATCCACCATGACACGACCATAAATTATATCACCTGAAATAGAGATATGGAAATGTTATTTCTGTGATGTGCTAAGGTATATCAATGTGACACTGTGAACAGGTAATGACAGTGAGGACACAGAGATTATTTCCTTCCCACCTGCATCTACTATCAAACACTGAAGGCCTGTTCGTATGAGTTTCAAGATCTGGTGCATTCCCAGGCCTCAGGTAAGACTGCTTTGCAGACTGACCACAGGTGACTGAAGATTGACTGAATCTCAGATGCTCAGCCACTAGTGGGAATGATTTCAAAGGTCTGGCCTATAATTTGACATTAATAATATCCCACTGTGGTTCAACTCCAGTTTACATAAATAAGTTGGTACAATGAATACTGATACAATATAGAATAACACTAAGAAAGAATCAATAAAAAGCCTAATTAACTTTACTTGCTTTTGAAAGAGGGCTTAATGAAACCCCTGTTCAGCTATTTACTTCACAACTATTATTGAACCGTTACCATGTGTGCCAGGTATTTTTCTAGGTACCGAATATACACCGTGGAACAAGGCAGGCAGTCTTTGCCTGAGAAGCATTTACAGCCTCATGTAGCTGCAGCATTTAAGTTTATGCAAGTTGAAAAAAGAATTCAAGAAAATCATCTAGACTTGTTCCAAAAGTCATGTGGGTAAGACACCTAGAGATTAGCTTCCTCAGAATAAAAAGATACCCAATAACATATACACAATTGCAATGACCTCCCACACCAGCCAGAGTGGATAAAGACTCAGTTACATTCTCAAAACCATAAAAGAAGCTATAATTTCCCAAACACAATCCCCAAAAAGTAAAGCACAAAACACATATGTGCTAAACAGTATCCCTCTCATTTGTAAAGTGATACCTTCTGCAAAAGCAACATCACTCTCTTGCCCGAATCCCATGGAGCCATCAGACAACCAGAGACTCTTCTTAGAGAGCAGGTACATCTGGGTGTTCAAGCTAAACTCAGCAGCCACTGGATCGCTGACCTAAAACCAAATGTAAAAGTCCTTTTATGCATTGGTGGTTCTGATGGTGCACAGACATACCGCTCACGGATACGTACATTCACCTACGCTGACTAGAGAACAGTAAACACTGCACTGCAGTTTTCATGCCCTACCAAGCCAACATAGAGAGTTGGAACATTGTTTTTGTCCTTGAAAAGAAAAAACTGGTGGGGTTAAGTTATTTTTTGAAAGGGACTAACTAGAATTGCTTGAGCTCATTTCCACTGGTTTATTGGGGTAAATGAAGGACTTGTAAATATCATTTTGTCAGTAGAAGGCCAATAGTATATGTTCCTGAAAAAAAGATACCATCACATTTCTTATAATGCATAATGGCAATTAGGTACTTTGAGCTGGTTTGGGCTACAGGATTTCATTCTCTTTAGAGAAGAACAAGAAAAGAAATGCAAAAATTCTCAAATCTCCAAGACAGAAAACTTCAGGAGGAGACAAGATAAAATCAGATTAAAAAATAACCATTGCATATATTAAACTCTGAATTTTACATCCTGTACTAACAACAGATAAAGGGCAAATCTTTCCTCCTTCTTTTCTACCTTGCTTCCTTAACTGATTTCTTTTCTTTTCACCATGCAAGAATTAAAGTCATTCATGTGTAGATACTTTTTAAAAAATTAATAAATGTAAAACAAAGTGGGATTCTGCAAGTCACGAGATAATAATTCTATAAGCTGCACCTGTTGGAATCGAATGTCAAGGTTAAAGGTGACAGGCTCCCTGGGGTTGCAGGTGACTGGCAGGCGGTATTCCTGATGCGATGGGGCGGTGCATGGCAGCAGCTTCACAGTATAGGTCCCAGAGTAGTCACGTACCTTTGAGGAGAAGACATTGACATATTACATTTAAAAATCCGAGGTGTAATCGGACGGCAGCAGAAAAAGAAAATGAATAAGAGTCTTAGTCACTTACGGCAAAGTCAGAGACAAAGCTCCACTGCTGTACTGGCTGGTTATAGGTTGGTTCACTCCTTATGAGGCGGAGGGAAAATGTCAGGCCCGGATGATCAGCTGACATGACCACTGAGCTTGTAAAGGATGCTAGGAAACGTTAATAATGATACAGTGGTTCAATTAAAAGAGTGCATAAGAGTTTAGCATTTTCAAAATACCCTATCATTATTTGCTTCTATTTTTATAAGAAGGCTGCAAAGCAGTCATGGGATAATTTTCCTCCTTTGGCTGATGAAGAAACTGGGCTGTGAGTGACTATGTGACTTTCCAAAAATCACCCAGCTAGGACATGACTTTGTGATTCCTACCTCAGTGCTGTTTCCTCTCTATAGTTCTGTCAAAAGGTAATTGCACAGAAATGCTCAGATTGTTCAGAGCTACTTTCCGGGGAGTCAGAGCAGCACAATAAAGGGTGACGTGATGCATTTATTGCACTGAAGCTATGAGCTGAACTTAAAATAGTTTATTAGTAGCCACACAGCTGGGCAAACCTGGTTTATGAACAGAGTCTGATTTTACTTAGATTGCCTGCAATCAGGGTTAAACAAGGATTCAGTTTATTAGAAAGGTAGACATGTAGCGAGAACTGTATAGACCAGAAAATCCTCATTTTCCAGAACTGTCAATTACAATAAAGCAAAATGATTTTTTTTAATTCTTTCTTTCTTGCAGCTCAGTTTCTAAAAGTACAATGAAGCTTCTTTCTCTTCCTAATTATTCAGCGCTATTCTTTCTTTTATTAGGGTTCAAGCCTAGAAAAATAAAAAATATAAAGCTGTCGGGGGAACTATTTTCTCTTTCCCATTCTAACATCAATTGGCAGAAAAGTAGCTTATTTTTTATTTGACTCTCCATGTTACTAGTTTAGTAACTGTTACCAGTTTAGTAACATGGAGAGTCAAAAAATAAGCTCTTTCTAATGAAATGTCCTTTATTAAAAAAATGAAGTTAGATGTGGGATTTTATTGACTGCTGCCTTATTGAAATTCAAAGCACAGTGCATCACAGTTAGTTAAATTGCATAGCCAATGCTTATTAAACACAATCAACATGTCCAAAACCTAAATACGAAAGTGAAGTACCACTTCTGACCCTATTAAAAGGGTTTCTCATAGTGCCTAGGAAAAAGCTGTGAGCAGAGAAGTGCTTGCTGAATGAATACCTGCAATTCAATTTGTACAATGGAAGCAAAGCAGAGAAAGAAATCATTATTCCTATGCTCTTTATCTAGGGAAAACTTGGCTTAATATGAACTCAATAGGGTGTCCTTTTAATTTTACTCTAATTAATTTGCATTTTCTCTGAAAGTCTGCATAATGATAATTTTGTGGATTCTGAGATGAAGCTGAAGAATTATCAAGCCCTCGTGGAGATGATCGCACATGTACAATTCATTTGAATTAAGGGCTTCAAAGGTAACAGGGAAGCATGCTGAAATGTGTGCAGAAGGAGAATCTATCTCCTTGTTGTGTGGGGAGTGGTTGTTAAAAGGTAACAGAGCTTACCGGGATGTGACAACACGAATAAGCCATGGAACTGAGCCTCTGTTTTGAAGTGCACGGCCAAGCGCCCCTCGTCACCGATGCGCATGCTGGTTGGGTAGAGGGAACCTATAATGGGGAGAGTACCCAGAATGAAAATATATGCAGCCAGAGACCCCTGTGTGCAGATTCCTTCCATAAATTAGCCTGCTCAGGTTTGTCTTGTCTTTAAGCAAACAGGATTATCAAGAGAATTCTGAATAATGGAAGCGGAAATATCTTCGTTTTCTTTTCTAAGCAGAAAAGGAAGCCACAATGAATGATTAAGTCACCTGAGTCACTATAAAATACACAGACCAATTACAGTAGGCAAGTTTTTTATAAAAGTCTTCATTTACACAAATGAAGCTGCAAATTGAGAGACATGACAACATTGTCAAAATGCTGGAGATTTGGACATGTAAAGAGAAATAGGTTTGAGTTGTTCAGAATTATTTCTAATTTTCTAGACTTAAAGAAAGCTCTGAAGCTTTCCCAAGAAATTTAGCAGTTTGATAAAATTTGGCTCCAGAAAAATCAAAAGGAAATAAGAGATCCTCTATGGAGGTCGGGAACCACAGAACAATCCTCATTAAGAGTAACTTAAATATATATCTTCTAAAAGGAGATATGGACTTAAAACATTTGAAATAATTTAAAATTATAATTCAGGGTGATCATATTACCTGTCACATAGCTCTACAATAATTTTAATCTGCTTAAGAGAGTAGATTAATATGTAAGATGCACGATCTACTCTATTTTCCTGTCGGCTAGTAAAATGTAGTCCGGGCATGACACTATGAATGTATGAATGTTTGCGGAATCAGAACAGATATATATGTCTGAAAAGGAAAAGGCACTCATCCCACTAATGGATTTATTACATTGATGCTTGCGGACTTTGAACTATGATTCTAACATGGAAGTTGAAATCAAGTTTTGCAAATGCTTGTGAACCCGAGCTAGCGGCATTCACAATCAGAGTTCAAAGACATTCCGTGAAAGTGTCTCAGAGTAATAGAATTTTAAATCAGAAAGAGAGATATTAGAAGTTTTGTCTATCATTCAAAGGAAATTAGGTCTCAGAAAAGTTAAGCAATATGCTCGAGATCTCACAGCTAGTTAGTTGTAGAGACACAACTAGATTTCAGACCACGATTTGTATTAGAATTTAAAAGGCACCTCTTATTTTCATAAATAAAAATGTGTAACTTTTTCTTTTGTTCATTTCTTGTTTTCACTGGAGCTTCCTCTATCCATTTTCTAGAACCCAGAAAAATACATATGTTGTGTTATGTAACATATAATCACCTAAAATAGATCACAAGAGTAAAATATCCATGAAATATAGTTATATTTAATAATCACATATGCAAAATATGAAGCACTAACATGATTTAAAGAGTTTTTCGATGAAAAGGGTGAAATTATCTTATTATAGAATAGAAAAAGAAAATATATTGAAAGTTGCTTGTACTACTTTTAGCAAAAGCAAAAAAATCCTCTTAAATAATTTAAATAGGTTACAAAAATAGAGTGTTCCAAGTCTTATTAACTCACCTTGAAGTTCAGCCTCTGGGGGGCTGCCAATCCCATCATTCCACAAGATGGCAGTGTCATACACAAAAGTCAGACGAAGCTCTGACTTCAAGTCAAAATGCTGCCAGCCTCCTATCCCCACAGGGGAATGGAACACGTAGGAAACATACAGGGGGACTCGAAGGGTCACATAGGACTGCACTAGGTTTAGGACCTGAAACAGTAAAGTTACATCTCTCAACACGATTCAGTGTTAACTAAATGAGCCTAATTTTCTACAAGCCATCTTGTCCTTTCACTTAACTGAAGATTTTGAGTAATCATTGAGAAAAGGAAATGACAGCATTTTTTATAACACTATTTCCCCCTCACTTAATTTTGGATCAATTAAATAGTTGACACTAACTACCTTCATTGGCAACAAAGTATAGGTACCAGAAATCCTTAGGACCATGCGTTATTTTGAGCATACTCTACTCACAAAATCCTTTTTACTTTAGTTTTATGAAGATATAGCTTACATACCATATGATTCACCTATTTAAAGTAAACAGTTCAATGGTTTTTAGTACAATCAAGGAGTTGGGTAACCAACACAATCAATTTTAGAACATTTTTATCACCTCCAAAAGGAAGCCTGTATTTATTAGCAGTCACCTCCTAATCTCTCCTTCCTGACATCCCCTGGCAACCACTAGGTCTCTACGGATTTGTCTATCCTGGACATTTCATACAAACGGAATCATACAAGACGTGGTCTCTGGTGACAGATTTCTTTCACTTAGCATAATGTTTTCAAAGCGCATCCACATTGTAGCATGTTTCAATACTTCATTCCCCTCTTACTGAATTGCAGCCCATTGTATGCACATTTTATGTATCTATTTATTACTTCATGCCACGTGCGTTGTTTCCAGTGTTTGGCTATTATGAAAAATGCTGCTATGAGCTACTTTGTTATTAGCGGAATATGAAACATAGATTTGGAAGCAAATATATTTACTAATGACATATAACATTTATAATATCTCAAGAATACTTAGTTGAAATGAAGTGTTTTGCCTTGAATTTTATACTTTTCTCCTTCTGGTATTTAGCAGATGGGTTGAGAATAGTGCAGAATAAACTAATATTTATTTGTTGAGTAGTTACCATATTTCAGACACTGTACTAGTTTCTCAATAAACACTACTTAACATTTTCACTCTCGTCCATTATTATATGTATGTATGGATAGTTGGATGGATCAATGGATGATGGATAGAAAGAGAAGAAGATAAAATTAAGATGCAAAGGAAGAAAGCAAATGTCCTATAGTATTTTCTAAGCTTCCTGAACGGTTCGGCCAAGACCACAACTCAGCTTTTGGCCCATGCTTTTTTTCTACTCTGTCATATTTCATTGAACTCCAAACAAAGAAGAAGGCAGTCTTAAGGTCATCTCACAAAGGTTATCATATTTAATTCTCAAAACAGCTCTGCACAATAGTAGGACAAATACAACTAGCCTCTTCTACATAAGAGGAGAGGACTTAGGTCAGATCACACTCCATGGAAGTTTGAATCGGGCTGTCTGCTAATAGTCTAGTTCTCCTTCCACACTGAGCTGACAACAAGAATCATAGGCGTGGGTTAGCAAATAATGTAAATCATGAGAACTATGATTTATAACATTATTATGAAGTCCAAAGTAAACTGTTCATATCACAAAAATGATGACCTGAATCCTTAATAAAAATATATAGAAGAGAACCATCAACCAAACAAGTTATTTCATTTTCAGCTGTGTAGCAGCTAGCATTCCCTATAACCTGCTAGCCTGGCCAGCAGGAGAGGTGCTTTGCATTAAAAGTCCTTTGAGACAGTAGTTTCTGAGGGCAGCAATTATTACTTTGAGCAATCGATTTTCAAGTGCAGTGGAATGGACAGTGATTAAGTCAATCCATATGCCACTGGTCCTTAAGATTAATATTTTACCTTCATTTTAATAAACCATGATTTAAAAAAAAATTAGGCTTTAGGCATAGATTCCAATTAAACTTTATAGGTGCTAAGAATAATTTTTTTACCATACTATACTCTGTCCATCAAATGTTACTGAGTATGCTATTTTGGAGGGAATTACTAATATTCACTTCCTATGAATAAGTTACTTCGAGTACAGCTCCTCGACTAATTCTTATTTGCTTTGATTTGATGTGATAAACTAGAGTTTGATATTTTTGGACACAGAATCAGTATTCCATTGCTTTTGCTTAGTACCCGTAACAAGGTCTCTCTCTGTCTACTGAGTGTCTCTACCTACAGGAACTGGAGCAGAATGAAGCTACCTTGACCATCTAGATCACCTCCCATTTCTTTCTTCAAAAGTGCAGAGTGCAATGCAGTCAATCTAACTTTTAGATGTCATCTTAAAAAGTGCTTGATTTTCTTTCAGCCCAAATCATCGGACTTTTCAAGGTATTTGTTTATACTGAAAGAAACATCTGTCAAATCTTAAAGAAACCGAGATACGAGTGATTTCATATGTCCTTATTGATGCTTCAAGTTTCTTCATCAAAGGCAAGCAATACTTAAAATTCCATATTTAAAAGGAAAGTATGAAGTGCAAAACTATGGAAAAAGTAACACACTGTCAAGTTTATTCTGCTATACATTGGGGTAAGTATATATCTTGCAAAAAATTTAGAGTGGCTTACATATAAAAGAGAATCAGTGTACAAAGTATAAAACAATGGGATGGAAAAATGACCTCTTAAGTATATTCCAGCCTCAAAATGTCCTATTTCTAAATCAAATACACGTAAAAAAAGAGGCATAATTCTTCCTCAAAGCAACTAAGAAAAAATTTGTTTACTTTTCTAAAATTATGCTATGTCTTCTCACAAGTACATTATAATGTCATGTTTTAAGTGAAAACTATGATTGGGCTTGCATTTCTGTAGCTTATTCACACAAATTGAGCAACTTTATCAGTCACTGTTTACCTAACACGTGGGAGAGTTAAGAGTAAGGAAAATTTTTTAAAAAGTAGAGAGGATACCAAGAAGATTAAACTGGACAAGCCTTGTTTGCAAGTGAAGGATCTAGTGCTGCTTTCAGATGTTTGTCCTTTATTTTTTTTCCCATAAGCTTTCATCTTCATCATTGTCTTAAAGCCAACTGGTGTTTCTCGTTCCTCGACTTTGGTACGATGGTGCTTTGCAAGAATGTATTTATATTATCATGGCCAACATTTGATCAGCCCTTGTCTGCTTATTCACTTCCCTCCTTTAGTAAAATAAGTGCTTTCATTATGAACTGTATAAAAATACCTTGTATAAAGCCCCTTTTTTGATTATTACAATAAGTAGAATTGTAACAAATGAAATGTTGATTTTTATAATAAAACAGTGGGGAAAAAAGATGCTACGTTGCAAAACAGCTAGTCAGGACAATAAAAGGTCAAATGATCTGCAGTCTTTAATTATTCTTCAAAACTGTTTTCACGAGAAAAACTACCAAACTATCCAATAGTTCTAAGAACTTAATGTAGCGTTAATAACCATTGGGCATCTAAAGTGTTTTATTGTGTACCCAAGCAACTTTATATTTTATTTACAAAATATGTGTCACATAAAAAGGTGGAGTGGAATCATTTATTTAACACATCTCTATGTTGTTTTTCCTGTTATTTATCTGTGTTCATATTTTAGAAACTATTAAAAATGATTTTAGAGTCAAACATTGTTAGAGAAATTCCAAATTTGTTTTTCTTGGCAAGTAAACTCCTTAACTTCTGTGAGTGATGATCAGACTCTCGTATCTACTTTGCTGCCCTGTAAGCTTCATGTCTGGGGTCCTCATGAGTACTTGGTATGCTCCCGGCACAGAGGAGGTGTTCACTGAATATTTCTTTAATGAATAAATGCACAAGTAAATGAAATGGCAAAATCAGATATGGTTCTAATTAACAGCTGAAGCTAGATGTGGTCTAGCTGCATACAAGTTAATCACACTTCACTGCTGTTAACAGATAACGCTCCTGTTAACCAACAAGGTAAATAATCTGAACTGGGAGGTTGGAGAAGGCAGAAAACCCTTCCAGTGCGGTGTTAGATTTTCACTGGCAAAGAAAAATGCAGGGACTCGGCAATATTTTATGGTGGTAGCTTTAGCTACTAAGAACACTTTTAAAAAATCAATTCTCTAACAATGTTTCCTGGTTAAAGCAACTACCAGTTGATAAAATGTGTTTGCACAGTGATTACCTTGAGCTAAGTTGCCAACTTTGGGAAAGGACTAGAGGAGGCAAGTAACACCTGCTAGGTGCTTGGCCGGGGCTCTGTGGGACTGCTGAGGACAAACAGACCTGGGCTGGCACTGGCTTGCTGCAGGGGCTCTTTACTGGGGTGGTCAATAAAACCCTGAAACCTCTCTGAAGCGTTTGGAGTCTGTGTTGATGGTTTGCTTTTTTATTTTTGTCCATTTTTCCATTCTTGATGCTGAAATGCAAAAGTCTGGAAGGCCCTCAAGACAGTCTAAAGTAGAGTCTGAAGTAGAATTTACCAAGCATTTAGTTTGCTTTTTCTCAGGTGCCATCTCAGGAAATATGCTTGCATTTCAACACCGATCTGCCTGTATCCAAACAAAGCTGCAGACTAGTGCTGCCAGGACATGGATTGGCACTGTTGTACCAGCAGCGGGTGTGGATGTAATCTGGCACGTGTTTTCACGAACGCTGTCGGGCAGCATACTTGTACCAAGAACAAAGGAAAAAGTTCATCTGGCTTCCTTGCAATTGTATGTGTCACCATTTCCATTCCTCACATTCACTCACATTCAATTTAATGCCCAGATAAGCATTACGACGTGTTTCACAGCATAGGCTTAAAAGCTACGTGAACCTGGGCTAGTTATTTGCACTGTCTTCGCTTCAGCTTCCTCATCTGTTAAAAAGATGCAAAAATAGTACTTATCTCAAAGGGTTGTTGTGAGGCTAGACTGAGTGGAAATATGCAGAGTATTTGGAAGATGGCAGGCCCGAAGTAAACAATAAATAAATATTACAATTAGCACGGTCGTTACTCTTATTCTTAGTACTATTATTAGATATTTTGTTCTCTTCACTGTAAGCCAAATCTAATGAAGGAAAGTGAGGGCAATATCTCAGAGGGTTGAATATTTTATACTCTAATTTTATTTTCTTCTTGCTCACCTATGTGTAAATAACATGTGTTGTGTGTGTTGAGGTGAGGGTGTGGGAGAATATCAACAGCAAGGGGAGAGGTAGAAGCTTCACCTCAAGGAAGAAGGTTGAAGGAAACGGGACGGCCACCTGTGATGGATAATTTTAGGTGTCAGCTTTACTAGATTAAGGGATACCCATAGTGGGCAAAGTATTATTTCTGGGTGTGTCCATGAGAGTGTTTCCAGAAAAGACTGGCACTTGATTCTGTGGACTGAGTAAGGAAGACTCATCCTCATGCAATGTGGGTAGGCTCCGCCAAATTGGCCGAGACCTAGATAGACAAAAAAAAAGGCAAAGAAAAGGGCAAAAATAGTACTTATCTCAAAGAGTGGTTGTGAATTCTCTCTCTCTCTCCTGGACCTGGGACACTCCTCTTTTCCTGCCCTTGGATAGCAGAACTCCAAGTTCTCTGGCTTTTAGACTGGGGAACTTCACCTGGCTTCTTAGGCCTTTGGCATCAACTGAGAGTAATACCTTCAACTTTGCTGGTTTTCAGGTTTTTGAACTCAGACTGGGCCACATCACTGGCTTCCCTGGTTCTCCAGCTTGCAGATGGTCTGCTATGGAACTGTTCAGTCTCTGCAATCTCAGGAGCCAATTCTCATACAGAATCCCTTATCATCTATCTATCTATCCATCCATCCTATTCTGTCTCTGAGGAGAACCTTGGTAAAACAACATCTCTAAGCTTCATTCCAAGAGAGTAAGCAATATGTTTTATTAAATTGTATTATCATTTACAATGAAGATTTTATAACTTTATAACAAGATCCTAAAATCTCAATGATTTACTCTGAACCTTTTCATCGCTATGATATCGATCATCATGCTTATGCTATTAAATTTATTTTTAACAATGTAAAAGCGGAAGAATTATTTCAGAAGGAACTCATACAAGTTTGCCATCTTCCTTAAGAAGGTAACGCAAGCTATTAAGAATTGAATTACGTCGCGATTCTTACATTGCACCCTCTCCTAATATTATGGAACATAAGCTTTTCTAGCAGGCAAAACTTAACTGAAAACCTGCAATTGCTGATTTTCACCTAATAGAGTCGAACCGTTGTCAGTTCCAATAGAGAAACAGAGTAATGACGTTTCTAGCAGGCAGAAGTCATAGGAAGAAAAAAAATATTGAACACAAATAATTCAATACAGGCACTGCAATTTAAAAAAATCTAGCACAAATACTGAACATAAATAATTTGATACAGGAACTGGAATTTTAAAAATCTAGCAAAGTATAGTCACTTTAGCTGAGCTAAATTTTACAGTAAGACTTGATTTGAAGAATGAACACGGTAGAGGGCAGGCTTTGCCTTCAAAATAAAATGGCTTTGCTACATTAAAAAGTGGACAGATATAATAGGACAAAGCTTAAGCAGGCACGTGCAGGGTTTTTATTATTGATAGAAAAGGCCTGGGTGGCATGTATAAAAGATGGAGAAGTGCTGCCACCTTGTGGAGAAGACAGAAAGCATTCTTAAGGGTAAAAACAGACGATGGACTACATGAGATCCACAGAGAAGTTCCATAATGCAAAGTGATTTTAACAAGGAGTGAGAACTACAGTGTAATTCTATTTCTATATCCAATTTTGTTTATGGCAATAGATCCTGTGATGTAAGCAAGAATCCGAGGAAAAGTAACCAGAAAGGACACAGAAATAATTTATGGGCTGAAAACAGCTTTGTAAGGAAGACCCGAAGGAACTAGAGATGCTTAATCTATAAAGGAAGAGGGGGAGGTAGTTTGTTAATATGAGCCTTTATTTTTCTTCTGGGGAATTGACTCGTTATTTTTTCATGTTTCTTTCAGGTGGCAAAAACAGGTGAGGAAAGAGGGATCTGCAGGATGAACACTTGTAAGTGTTACTTGTAAGTAACTCGGTCAAAGGCATACAGCTAGAAAATGCCAGAGCCCAATTTCGCTCAGCATTTCCTTGATTCCAATATCCAGATTCTTTCTGCCACCTTATACTGTCTCTCTGTTGGTATTTCTGTTGGCATTTTTAGCAGTCCCTGCAAGTTACTAAACACTGCTGCTTTTTGACAAGGTGGCTATGGTCACGTCTCGCTACCTCTGAGTCCAATTCAATATCAACACCAGCTGAGCTTGTCAAAGTCTACAGATTTATGTGGGCTTAGCTCATGCTAGTTATCTAGTTTTTTCTTGCTACCGGTTGTTAGATATGTCAACACCTTAGGAATATAGCACAAAAAATATAGCCTCACTTTAGCTCAATCTGGAGGGGCATGATATCGTCTGTATACCATTCAACACTTCAATGCATAAACCTACTTATTTAACTCCTTGTTTAGTCCAGGTAAGACAGAGTACGACTCTTAGTTCAAATACTCGTAACAATTTTAAATTATGCCCTACATTTTTTAGGTTCTCTATTGTAACCCCGATGAAGATCTTGCTTCCTTATCATTTAACAACTTTGTTGCTGATGATGAGGTGGGGGTGAGAACTGTTTGTGTGGGAGTGAGAATTGTTCGTGTGTATGTGTATTTTATGTATGAATGTCTGTGTAGCATGAAGAAGAATCAGTAATTGTAGAGTGAAAATAACAATAAGCATTTAATAAAAACAGTTTTGACTGTTAATAAATGATAAATGAATCAAAAAGAAAGGAAGAGGAGAAAAACAGAAAGAAAAAGAAAGAAAGTAAAACAGGAGGCTAGAGGAAGAGGAAGCTTTGTAAAAGGCAAGGGGAGAGGAAAGTTAGAAAAGAGGGAGAAAAATTAAAGTGACTCCCAGGACTATAAAACCTCACTTCAGGTGGCTCCTGATACAACATCACAGGCATCCACACATGAACACAAAAACGATAGGTTCTACTTTGAAGGGAAGTCAGTGTTTGGATTTTTATAATAACAGAGTAGATTTGGCGCTTAAGGCAGTAATCATACAGCATCCTTTTGACAAGGATTTAATGTCTCTAGCCCATTGTCAAAAACTACATATATTCTGGCCCACTGGTCAGAAATAGACATGGATTTTCACATCATCTGTGCCAGTTGTGTGTTCCCCTGTTGTCACTAATGACCCACACCACCAAGATGGAAAACTCGAGTTGGGACTTAGTACAAATCTATGTGACGAAACAAACTGGTTTATCCAGTGACCAAACTCAGATGTTAAAAATCTGTACCTGTCCATCTGTTCCGATGGTGCCACCACAGTCAGCAAGGAGTTCTGACATGTCGTAGTAGCTAACAAACTCCCATAAACAGGCCTCTAGGTTCAGGTTTCGGTAGAAGCGTAAGGTATTGGAACCTCTGATAGACAAGCTGTACTGGTAAGGATATGCCTCGCCAATTATTTCCGGGTTTTTGGTAGCATCAGTCAAGAAACCATAATGAGTCTTCACTTCGGTATAATCCAGGAGGTTGGAGCACCTGTGGTTTCCAGCCCTCGTGCCATCCGGGCTGAGGGTGAGCTCAAAGTTGGAAAGCTCTCTGGTGGAGATCACAGGAAGCATGCCTAGGATAAATTGAAGTCATCGTTAATATTCTTTCAGGTAGCCAAGAATTTTGAACACGTTAAAATTTCTTTATCTCTTGAGAAAACAAGTATCATAAACTACTGCACAGTAGTGATGATCCAGGCCGGGCATTGTGGCTCATGCCTGTAGTCAGCACTTTGGGAGGCCGAAGCGGGTGGATCATTTGGGGTGAGGAGTTCGAGACCAGCCTGGCCAACATGATGAAACCCCATCTCTACCAAAATTATAATAGGCAGGCATGGTGGCAGGCACTTGCAATCCCATCTACTTGGGAGGCTGAGGCAGGAGAATTGCTTGAACCCGGAAGGCAGAGGTTGAAGTGAGCTGAGATCACACCATTGCACTCCAGCCTGGGCAACAAGAGTGAAACTCCATCTCACAAAACAAAAACAAAAAAGTGGTAGCATAAGAACCTTGGGTTCCGCAGGAAAATTTCAAGATATCCATGACTTAAAAGATGTTTTCATAATGATACTAAGTTATTATTTGACTTTGCCACTCCTATTCTCTCACAAGTGCTTCTTTTCAGAGGCTACAAGATAAGATAAATTACAACGGATTGAATACAGAAGCAGAGAATCCACTGATTTTCTATTAAGCCAGACATTAACAATACCTTAAAATATAAAAGTGCCACTCATTATTTTTTATTTTATAACATACTTTCTTAAAAAGATATATTTTATGTTAATATGTAATCTATTTTTATTTTTAATAAGTGAATAAATAACAATTCCTCAGTTTAATTTAAAATCCAGTAAACATTTATAGCTATCACCTACATAAACACAATGTCTTTGAGAGCTTCAGCAATTTCTAGGATGTCCTAGATCATAAAAGTTGAAAACTGGCCATGCCCAGAGTGGCTCATGTATAGAATCCTAGCACTTTGTGAGGCTGAGGCAGGCAGGTTACTTGAGGTCATTAATTCGAGACCAGCCTGGCCAATGTGGTGAAACCCCATCTCTACTAAAAATACAAAAATTAGCCAAGCGTGGTGGCACGTGCCTGTAATCCCAGCTACTTAGGAGGCTGACGCACAAGAATCACTTGAACTCAGGATGTGGAAGTTGCAGTCAACTGAGATCACGTCACTGCATTCTAGCCCGGGTAACACAGTAAGACTCTGTCTCAAAAATATATATATATATATATATAAATAAAATAAAGGTTGAAAACTACTACCGCTATATAGCACAGGCTAAGGATTGAAAATTTGTTCTGTAAAGGGTCAAATAGTAAATATTTTAGGATTGTGGGCCCTGAGGTCTCCGCTGACTGGTCAATGCTCCCATCAGAATGAAGGCCACTACTATGTGTAGGAATAAACATAACTGTGTGCAATAAACTTTATTATGGATGGTGGATTAGAATTTCATAAACTACCTTCATGTTTCAAAAACAGTCTTCTTTTTTTTTCCCCCAAACATTTAAAAATATAAAACCCATTCCTAGCTTGCAGACGTATGAAAACAGGCAGCAGACTGTATCTGGCCACAGGCCATAGAGTGCTAACCCCTGGCGAAAGCAATACAGCAAAAGACTATGAACCAGGTCTTCTCTGTGAGCCTTTCCCATCTCTTCCTCTCAGATTCACTCAGAGCAAAACCCTGGACTTAACAAAAGAAGCGGTCAGCCTCAACTACACTTCTGGCAGAGCTGTGGCTTTTGAACACAGAACGCTGCATTCAGCAAATGCAAAGGCAAGCCTTAGGAGTGGTGTGAGAGACACTCTTTCTTTTAGGAAAGATCTGTTTTAGGTCTGTGTTTCCTTGATGGGTCCCTTCTCAGCCCTTTACAGCTCCAGTCACACCTCCACATGGACCTAGAGATTGGGTGGCTCAGGGACCAACATTATGCCACAAAGGAAGGAGATACAGATTCCTGACCACCTGCCTTTCCAATCCCTGGAAAAATCTGAGGTTGTAATAGACAGACAGAGCAGATGTTCCTGTTCTGGGGAGGTGTATTCTACCTTGCCGCTCCTAATGACGTTTCCTCTCCCTTAGCTACATAAAATATAACTAACATATCAAGTAATATATTAATATTAATTTGCTACAAGTATAAAGTGAACTGAGTGGGAAAAACTTGAAAATGCCTCCTGCATATAGTAAAATATTCATAAAGTATGATAAAATTATTGACGCACACGTTCTGGTCATAGCTCCCTAGCCAGAGAAAATAAAAACAATACATAATACCTGTTAGTTTCATTTTTTGTTTTATTTAAATATCTGGGAAATGTCTTAGTGACATGATAAATATTGAGAGAGACATAAAACTCCAGCTATAAAATTGCCAACATATGTTGCGGGTGGTCACTAGGATAGCAAATCCTTTACTGTAACTTCAAGTTTACGATTGAAGATACATTTGTGCTCTTTCATAAAATCTAGTATTACATCTATCTAATTTTAAAGAATGCTTTAATTGGCAGAGTTATAAAAACTGGGTAGAACAAAGCTGAAACAGTTGAGGGAAGCAGAAGGACTTGAAGCTCAAGTTGCAAGGTGACCGCCTGTTGAAGCTTGGTTGTTGAGAAGATCAAGGAAAATACACCAGGTAATGAGGTGTATTTCAGAACGACTGATTCCATGGACTTGCTTACCCAAGTCACCTACCGTCTATGTGCGGCATCGTGACAGTGAGCTTGATAAGGTTTGTGTAGTCTGGGTCCTCACGGCCTGTATATCGCAACTTAGCTGAGAACGGCTCTGCCCCGACAACCCCAGGTACACGCGGCTGACAGAGACCTTGAAAAAAAATGAACACAGTTACGCTAAAAGAAGGTGATTGATAACATCGAAAGAATGTTTTTGAAAGTAGGAGCTATTATTCTTCTACGTGGTTTAAAATTCTCTGTGGAGTAGGACATGGCTGACAGTGTACAGCATGCCGTAAAAAAGCAGGAGGCCACAGGGTGAGAAGTAATCGCAGCAGACAGCTTAGTGGCCACTTGACAATTTAGGGATTATTTAAACTTTGAGAAACAAGTTACCATTCAATGTAACTCAATGTGTGCTGATTACTCTAGATCATGCTCATATTCACAAAACCATTTAAAGTCTGAACAGATAGAGTAAAAATGATTGACAGCCTGTAGGATACAAGTAAGTATAGTTAAACCAGGAAAATTTACTTTTTACTCTAGAATAATATACTTATCATTAGTTATGTTTACATGACTTATAAGTGAATACAACGAAAAATATGCTCATTTTAGGAACTAAAACTAATGTCTCCTTAAAAATCAGAGGGTAAAATGTGCACAGCAGAGTTTTCCCTCTATATGTATTTTTTACAGTGTGTGTATTATATATTATAAACCATTTTATATTCATCTCTCTTTCTTTCTTTCTCGTATCTTTCAGTGACCTTCAAGAATTTGGACATGAAACTCTTTCTCCAGCATTTCCTTTAAGAAAATAGTGGTTTTTATTTGAACGTCATGAAAGGGACCAAGATGCTAGATTATAATTTTAAAAGAACTTGGAAAAATACAATTTTTTTTCTATTTGTATAAGTCAGAGAACATACATACATACATGCAGGCCCCAGCATACAGGCTGTCTGATTTATTAGAAGTGAATCATTTTAAGGCATTATTTAAATATTTGATCCTGAATATATCATAGTGGCAGGTAGGACATATGACCTCTCTTTATGCAACAAATTTATCCTTTTGAATGCAGTACGCAAATGGATGATTTAGAAATAGAATCAGATATATACACAATCTTTTTTAAAAAAAATCTCGTGAAAAATTATTCTGCAGAGTGAAGGATGATTTATACAGTGGATTTCCTGTCTTTCCAATGTGGTCCCCAGCCACATCCTATTCTCCTCCCCAAAATGTTCTTGCTCCAACCTCAGATACAGTCTCTCTTGTAATACCAAGGTATGAATTTGCACATACCCCTCTACCTGGACTGCCTTTCCCCTCCTGTCCCCAGCAAAGTGCTACTCACCCAATGACCAGCTGAGCTTCTTGCACAGCATGAGCTCTGTTCACAGCTGACCCTTGCATATCATTCTGCCTTGTCTCCTCGCTCTTCCTCCTCTCCCTCTCGGAAGCTTCCCCGTTTCTCTGCTTGCTGTTCCCAGAATATCCCACATTCTTTCTTGCTTTTACGAGTTGTTGCTTATGCTTGTTTTCCTGTACTGTGTTCAGATTCAGCTTCAGCCTCCCTTCTTTGATGAGCCTTTCCTGACCCACTCAGGGTAGAATGAATCACTTCTACCTTGGCATTCCTGTGCCCTGTCTAGCCTAAAATGTGTTTGCATCTTCAACTGGACTAAGAATCCCTCAAAGCAGGGATCCTGTCTTCTTTATTTTATAGCCAGCGCAAAGCATTGTATCTGCCATATAATAGGTACTCAAAGGTAGCATAAATAAATGTTTTGTTTTTCTAATAAATAGGCAGAGGTTGCAGTGAGCTGAGATTGCGTCACTGCACTCCAGCCTGGCACCTGGTGACGGAGCAAGACTCTGTCTCAAAAAAATTTTTTTTAAAATTTTTTAACCACTTACAAAATATATGGAATATGTGGGACATTTGGAAGTATTAAAAACCAGAAGGTAGACATTTGTAATATTCCACAGTATTCCAGCGATCTACCCGGGAAAGTGGAAATGACTGACCTTCTTCTCTGCTTACGGTTACGATAGTGCTCATGAGCTCCAGGCCTTCATCCCCGTTGGTGTTCACAGCACGAGCTGCACACTGCACGCGGGAGCCAGGCTGAAAGTATATGGAGTCCAGCGTGACCATCTTGGATGACGTAAAAAAGGTGTCGAAGTCCACTTCTCTCATAGGGCTGGTCACACCATCAGGGCCTGTGGGTGCACTAATCAGCCACCGGTACCGGGTCAAAGTGTCATTGATGTTCTCACTTGCACAGATAGAACCTGTTTTATCATAATCTGAATATTTGGGGTTGCAAGCCTGTGGAAAACAAATGACTGTGTTAAGAACGGCGTCGAGAACAGTGTGGAACCCATTCCTCTCCAGTGCTGCCATCGACTTTTCACTGCGGCTCTCCCTGATTTCTACATGCTCTTAATGAAGCTTCCAAATTTTGATTCCCAGCTATGATAGCATTTATAAACTCTCATCTTGCATTTCAAACAGCATATTGGATGTTTCTAAGTTAGTATGTGTAAAATTGCTATTTACATCATAATCTCTCAAATCATCAGGTTTGCCAATTATCTTTATTCTCTCTCTTTTCCTCCCTCCTTCCCTCTCTTCCTTCCTGTTCTCATCTTACCCCCCTTATCCAGTGAGTCATGAACTTCACTGATTCTTCTTTTGTGATATTGCTTAAGTGGATGCCTTTCTTTCCATTCCCAGCAGCACCTCTCTGTCTAATTCAGTGTCTTTTCTTCCAGTCCATTGACACACAACTGCCCTGTTAATCTGCCAGCTTAACCCCTCTGATCATTCTTCTGTGTGAGAACTCCTTGCTACACAACAAATGCAGTCTAAATTTCTAAATATGACATTTAAAACTCCCTATAACTTGACAGCAAATTATTATCTCTGCCATGTTGACTCAATAAACATTTATTGTGTACCTTTTATATATAATTGATTATAGAAGTGCTGCTGTGATATAAAAATAAGTAAGTCGGGGAGGGGACTCAAGATGGCGCTGTGAGAACAACCCAGGATTGGAGCCCGCGTTGAATTCGCAAACGGTGAGTCAGTGCTGCATTTCCAGACTGATCTTTGTTGCCCACAGAACGGGGAAACTCCCAAGTATAAAAAGACACGGGACGCCAGGCAGTAGGTCTGCCTGGCGAAGCCGGCAGCCGGGGCGGCGGCGGCCGGCCCTACCCAGCAATCCCCACAGGGTGCGCTTGTCCGGGTGCCTTGTTGAACCGGCAACCTGAGACTTGAGAGGGCTGGACTTGAGACTGAACGAGACTTTCACAGTAGCCCAGCCCAGGGGATTGCAGGGACAGATCATTTGGGATACCCAGTGGGACGAACAAAACCGCGATTTCAAACTATCCCGGGAAGATGGTCCGAGACGCTCTGTGGGGGAGGGGCGTCCACCACTACGGAGGCAACCTGCCCCAACTGATATACACGCCCACTGCTGACGCAGCCAGCCGTTGCCGAGGCAACCCGCCCCAACTGAGATACACGCCCACTGCTGACGCAGCCAGCCGTTGCCGAGGCAACACGCTACAACGAAGAGACTCCGCCGCAGGGCGTGGCGGAGACCACAGCAGAGCCGGCAGGAACAGCGGGAATCACACAACAGCAGGGCGGAGCCTCGGCAGCCAAACAGTGGCTAGTCTGCCTTTGAGCTGGGCAGGACACCTGATCGGACATCCAAAAATAAAGCCCAAACCCCTCAACACAGAGCATTAGTGAAAAAAAAAGGGTTGTTCAATGAGCTGTGTTGCAGCAGAATCAAACATAGCAGCCTAACAGCCCTGAATGAACAACAGAGTGCATAGCTCAGCAATTAAACCCCTATAAAGTACAAACTGTCTCCTCAAGCAGCTCCCTGACCCCTCTATATCCAAAAGACTGTCATTAGGCAGGCATCATCCTGGGACAAAGAGAGCAGAAAAAGAAACTGGTAGCATCCCTCGCTGTGCCACGGCTACTAGAGGTGCACCCCAGACAAGCAGGGTCTGGAGCGGACCTCAACAGTCATACAGCGAAGGGGCTAGACTGGTAGAAGGAAAACCAAGCAACAGAAATACTTCATCATCAACATTCTGGGTGTCCACTCAGAGACCCAAACGAAAAGTCAGCAACTACGCAGACGACCAGCGGACAAATCCACAAAGATGGGAAGAAACCAGCGCAAAAAGGAGGAAAACACCCGAAACCAGAACACATCGCCTCCTAGAAAGGACCAAGACTCCTCACCAGCAAGGGAACAAAGCTGGACGGAGAATGACTGTGACGAAATGACGGAATTAGACTTCAGAAGATGGATAATGAGAAACTTTTGTGAGCTAAAAGATCATGTATTAAATCAATGCAAAGAAACTAAGAACCTTGAAAAAAGATTTGAAAAAAGATTCGAGGAAATGATAACAAGAATGGATACCTTAGAGAGGAATATGAATGAATTAAAGGAGCTGAAAAACACAATACGAGAACTTCGCGAAGGAAACGCAAGTTTCAATAGCCGAATTGACCAAGCAGAAGAAAGAATATCTGAAGTCGAAGACCAACTCAATGAAATAAAACGAGAAACCAAAATCAGAGAAAAAAGCGCAAAAAGGAATGAACAAAGTCTCCAAGAAATGTGGGACTATGTGAAAAGACCTAACCTACGTTTGATAGGTGTACCAGAAGGGGACGAAGAGAATGAATCCAAGCTGGAAAATACTCTTCAGGACATCACCCAGGAAAATTTCCCCCACCTAGCAAGACAAGCCAACACTCAATTGCAGGAAATACAGAGAACACCACAAAGATATTCCGCAAGAAGAGCAACCCCAAGGCACATAATTGTCAGATTCAACAGGGTTGAAATAAAGGAGAGAATACTAAGGGCAGCCAGAGAGAAAGGTCGGGTCACCCACAAAGGGAAGCCCATCAGACTCACAGCAGATCTCTCAGCAGAAACACTACAAGCCAGAAGAGAGTGGGGGCCAATATTCAACATTCTTAAAGAAAAGAACTTTCAACCCAGAATTTCATATCCAGCCAAACTGAGCTTCAGAAGTGAAGGAAGAATAAAATCCTTTGCGAACAAGCAAGTACTCAGAGATTTTGTCACCACCAGGCCTGCTTTACAAGAGCTCCTAAAAGAGGCACTACACATAGAAAGCATCAATCAGTACCAGCCATTCCAAAATCACACTGAATGCTAAAGAGCTTCAACATAATGAAGAATCTACAACAACTAACAGGCAAAACAGCCACTTAGAATCAAAATGGCAGTATCAAATTCACACATAACAATATTAACCCTAAATGTAAATGGACTAAATGCACCAATCAAAAGACACAGACTGGCAAATTGGATAAAAATCCAAAACCCATCAGTGTGCTGTATCCAGGAAACCCATCTCACATGCAAGGATACACAAAGGCTCAAAATAAAGGGATGGAGGAAGATTTACCAAGCTAATGGAAAGCAAAAAGAAGCAGGAGTTGCAATTCTCATCTCTGATAAAATAGACTTTAAAGCAACAAAGATCAAAAGAGACAAAGAAGGCCATTACATAATGGTAAAAGGATCGATACAACAAGAAGAGCTAACGATCCTAAACATATATGGACCCAACACAGGAGCACCCAGATACATAAGGCAAGTTCTTAATGACTTACAGAAGGACTTAGACTCCCACACAATAATAGTGGGAGACTTTAACACTCCACTGTCAATACTAGACAGATCAACCAGACAGAAAATCAACAAGGATACCCAGGGCTTGAACTCAGACCTGGAGCAAGCAAACCTGGTGGACATTTACAGAACTCTCCACCCCAAATCCACAGAATACACATTCTTCTCAGCACCACATCACACCTACTGTAAAATTGACCACATAATTGGAAGTAAAGCACTGCTCAACAAATGCAAAACAACTGAAATCATAACAAACAGCCTCTCAGACCATAGTGCAATCAAGTTAGAACTCAGAATTCAGAAACCGACCCAGAACCGCACAGCTTCATGGAAACTGAACAACTGGCTCTTGAATGTTGACTGGGTAAACAACGAATGAAGGCAGAAATAAAGAAGTTCTTCGAAACCAATGAGAATGAAGACACAACGTGCCAGAACCTCTGGGACACATTTAAAGCAGTCTCTAGAGGAAAGTATATAGCAATAAGTGCCCATATGAGGAGAATGGAGAGATCCAAAATTGACACCCTATCGTCAAAATTGAAAGAGCTAGAGGAGCAAGATCAAAAAAACTCAAAACCCAGCAGAAGACAAGAAATTACCAAGATCAGAGCTGAGCTGAAGGAGATTGAGACACGAAAAACCCTTCAAAAAATCAATAAATCCAAGAGCTGGTTTTTTGAAAAGATCAACAAAATAGACAGACCACTAGCCAGATTGATTAAAAATAAAAGAGAGAACAACCAAATAGATGCAATAAAAAATGATAAAGGGGAAATCACCACAGATTCCACAGAAATTCAAACCATCATCAGAGAATATTACAAACAACTCTATGCACATAAACTAGTAAACCTGGAAGAAATGGATAAATTCCTGGACTCCTGTGTCCTCCCAAGCCTAAACCAGGAGGAAGCTGAAACTATGAATAGACCAATAACAAGGTCTGAAGTTGAGGCAGCAATTAAGAGCCTACCTCACAAAAAAAGCCCAGGTCCAGATGGGTTCACAGCCGAATTCTACCAGACACACAAGGAGGAGCTGGTACCATTCCTTCTAAAACTATTTCAAACAATCCAAAAAGAGGGAATCCTTCCCAAATCATTTTATGAGACCAACATCATCCTGATACCAAAACCCGGCAGAGACCCAACGAGAAAAGAAAACTTCAGGCCAATATCCATGATGAACATAGATGCAAAAATCTTCAATAAAATATTGGCAAGCCGATTGCAACAGCAAATCAAAAAACTTATTCATCATGATCAAGTAGGATTCATCCCAGGGATGCAAGGCTGGTTCAACATACGCAAGTCTATCAACGTAATTCACCACATAAACAGAACCAAAAACAAAAACCACATGATTATCTCAATTGACACAGAGAAGGCATTTGACAAAATTCAACAGCCCTTTATGCTAAAAACCCTCAATAAACTCGGTATCGATGGAACGTATCTCAAAGTAATAAAAGCTATTTATGACAAACCAACAGCCAATATCATACTGAATGGGCAAAAACTGGAAGCATTCCCTTTGAAATCTGGTACTAGACAAGGATGCCCTCTCTCACCACTCCTATTCAATATAGTACTGGAAGTTCTAGCCAGAGCAATCAGGCAAGAAAAAGAAATAAAGGGTATTCAAATAGGAAAGGTGGAAGCCAAATTGTCTCTATTTGCAGACGACATGATAGTATACCTGGAAGACCCCATCGCCTCAGCCCAAAAACTCCTGAAACTGATAAACAACTTCAGCAAAGTCTCAGGATATAAAATCAATGTGCAAAAATCACAAGCATTCGTCTACACCAATAACAGACTTAAAGAAAGCCAAATCAAGAGCGAACTGCCATTCGCAATTGCTACAAAAAGAATAAAATACCTTGGAATACAACTCACAAGGAACGTAAGGGACCTCTTCAAGGAGAACTACAAACCACTGCTCAACGAAATCAGAGAGGACACAAACAGATGGAGAAACATTCCATGTTCATGGTTAGGAAGAATTAATATCGTGAAAATGGCTATACTGCCCAAAGTAATTTACAGAATCAACGCTATCCCCATCAAGCTACCATTGACTTTCTTCACAGAACTGGAAAAAACCACCATGAACTTCATATGGAACCAAAAGAGAGCCCGCATAGCCAAGTCAATTCTAAGCAAAAAGAACACAGCGGGGGGCATCACACTACCGGATTTCAAACTATACTACAAGGCTACAGTAATCAAAACAGCATGGTACTGGTACCAAAACAGAGATATAGACCAATGGAACAAAACAGAGGCACCGGAGGCAACACAACATACATACAACTATACAATCTTTGATAAACCTGACAAAAACAAGCAATGGGGCAAGGATTCCATGTTTAACAAATGGTGTTGGGAAAACTGGCTAGCCATGTGCAGAAAGCAGAAACTGGACCCCTTCCTGACACCTTACACTAAAATTAACTCCAGATGGATTAAAGACTTAGACATAAGACCTGGCACCATAAAAACCCTAGAAGGAAATCTAGGCAAAACTATCCAGGACATAGGAGTAGGCAAGGACTTCATGAACAAAACACCAAGAGCATTGGCAACAAAAGCCAAAATAGACAAATGGGACCTAATGAAACTCCACAGCTTCTGCACGGCAAAAGAAACAGTCACTAGAGTGGATCGGCAACCAACAGAATGGGAAAAAATTTTCGCAGTCTACCCATCTGACAAAGGGCTGATATCCAGAATTTACAAACAACTCAAGCAGATTTACAGGAAAAAAACAAACAAGCCCATTCAAAAGTGGGCAAAGGATATGAACAGATACTTTATGAAAGAAGACATATATGAGGCCAACAATCATATGAAAAAATGCTCATCGTCACTGGTCATCAGAGAGATGCAAATCAAAACCACATTGAGATACCATCTCACGCCAGTTAGAATGGCGATCATTAAAAAATCTGGAGACAACAGATGCTGGAGAGGATGTGGAGAAAAAGGAACACTTTTACACTGTTGGTGGGAGTGTAAATTAGTTCAACCATTGTGGAAGACAGTGTGGCGATTCCTCAAGGCCTTAGAAATAGAAATTCCATTTGACCCAGCAATCCCATTACTGGGTATATATCCAAAAGACTATAAATCGTTCTACTATAAGGACACATGTACACGAATGTTCATTGCAGCACTGTTTACAATAGCAAAGACATGGAATCAACCCAAATGCCCATTGATAATAGACTGGATTGGAAAAATGTGGCACATATACACCATGGAATATTATGCAGCAATCAGAAATGATGAGTTCGTGTCGTTTGTAGGGACATGGATGAATCTGGAAAACATCATCCTCAGCAAACTGACACAAGAACAGAAAATGAAACACCACATATTCTCACTCATAGGTGGGTGATGAAAAATGAGAACACATGGACACAGAAAGGGGAGTACTAAACACTGGGGTCTATTGGGGGGAAAAGGGGAGGGCCCGTGGGAGGGGGAGGTGGGGAGGGATAGCCTGGGGAGAAATGCCAAATGTGGGTGAAGGGGAGAAGAAAAGCAAAGCACACTGCCATGTGTGTACCTACGCAACTGTCTTGCATGCTCTGCTCATGTACCCCAAAACCTATAATCCAATAAAAAATTAAAAAAAAAAATAAGTAAGTCATATTTTTAGCTCACAAGGGGCTTGCAATTTAGAGTCAAGAGAAGGCAAATTTTAAAAGTAGTAATAATCTGCTATTTCTTATGCTGTTTTTTCTAGCTGTAGCTCATATTATAATCCCTTCTTCCTAGAATGACCTTCCCTTATCAGACTTGCATTCTAAACTATCAAAATTCCACCTGACCATCCCAAACCTCCCCTCATATATGGAGCTTCAGCTCTAACTTGTAATTTGTATCATTCTGTGACAGTGGTCCATCTTGCCTTATCTTAGATTTACCAATTTCCATATTCTTTTCTTCATTTCTAAATATCTTGAATGCATACTTCAAATCTTATTTATTTTTCTGTTGGTAACAGACTGAGATAACACTCTTATGTACACATTAGTTAACGAACCTTTGCTGGGTGAATAAAGGAAAACAGGACCTTTCCTTGATTCATGTTATATTTGCAAAGTTCAATGGTTAAACCATGGAGTATTTTTCTACTTTCATTTCTACATAACAAAGCCAATGCTACCTTGATTACAGTTTGTAATTATTTAAAATAATTATCTTACAATTTTCCTCAATTTTGTGAATCTCCTACTCACTGTGACACAGATGACAGGATAGCCAGACACGGGTCCAGCACTCTCCTTAGCTTTGGAAGTGTCATCATACATCAGCAGGGACACAATTTGAGGGACAGAAGGGAAAGTGACATCTGCCATGCTGATCGTTTCTTCTATATACACAATGGCTTTAGTCACCTAGAAGAAAAAGATAACTATCACTGATTAGTGAAATATTAAACTTTTTATGCTTCTATGATACAGGACGATATTCACGATACCTGGCAAACCCATGGCCTCATTATGATGCAAATTGTCATGCTCAGAGCCCCTGGAGAGCAATGGGCCCTAAATGGCCTGCTGCACGTGACCTTGGCACCTTGTTCACAACTTTTGGTTCTAAGGAGGGCAGCTGACCTGGGGCAGTCAGTCCAAAGGTTGGCCGGCAGCCCACGAGGTGTTCAGGCTCTACTTTTTTTTTTCTCCATTGTGATGACATAGCTAAATCTGTTTTGGGGTTGTGAAGGGAAGTTTTATGAAGAAGTCAATTCATTGACGGTGGGAGGAAAGCTGGAGGACATTCTGAGGGAAGGAAGATTACAGAGGTCATGGGATAGTGAGAGCCTGGATGAAACAGATGCCAGGCATAAGGAACTCTTTAAAGCGGCTGAGGGCAAAAGGCACCGCCTTAAACAGAGGCAGGGAGAATTTGAGTTCCAGACAGAAGAGGAATTTATGAACATCTGCTTCTGGGCAGGGTGACAGGAGAGCACCTTGCTGTGAACCTGCCCTGGCTCCCAGTAACATTCCAGCATCTAACTACATATCGTAGTTCCCTGAACGATCTTTACATGTATATTCTTAAAAGAAGCTTTCATCACTGGAAGTAATTTGAGTGAATCTTTATTCTTTTCACCCAAAAGAATTTCATATGCTACTCCATAAAAATAATAAAAGATTCATCTTATGTGATGAAGACATAAAACTATATTTGATAAAGATTGCCCAAACTTGAATTTTAAATGACTTGCTAAAAAGCAAGGCACTGTTGCAGAAAAGCCGTCAAGCAGTAAAGATTACAAAACAGTAAAAATATGTAAGGAAAAAACTTTCCCAGCTGGAACTCGTAGTAAAGTGAAACAATTAAAAAACGTAATACAGTACATGTAAGCAAAGATATAAAAAATTAATATATTCCAAAACCAGATGTAGTTTTCAAAATTATTTCCAGTGTAAAGGTCAACATTCTGTGGAATTATGTTGATTTTGAGGAAAATTCTGGTTAATGAGACAATATAAATTAAATAAGTATGGACAATAAGATTTAGGACGGCAACATTTTGACCATGAGGCTCTGGACATCCAATTCTGATAAAGCCAGGAGAAACAGATCTTGATCTGGAGGGTTAGCAAACTGCTTTGTGGGTTCAAATCTATGTTTTACAAGTTGTGGCACTGAATTAATAGTTCCCTCGTTACTCTGAGATGCTGCTTTCTCTCTGATGATTGATCCTAAGGTCAATCAATCATACTGACTGACAGGGGAAGGGCAGTGCACTGCTTTCGGGCTCAGTGACTTCCATCTTTGAGTTTCCACAAACATGATTTTTCAAAGAAAAGGATAGGAATTTCTTGACTACGATCTAATCAGAACAAAATATATTAGGTGGTAAAAAGAGATTATGCATATCTCTTTCATGTAAGGCTTGTACATACTCGCCTCATGTTTATGGTACACCATGTGATTGCTTTTATGCATTTTCTCTGATGAAGTGCTGGCCATGAATTTACGTCCACATTACATTACTTACCTGCGTCTCTGCTATCATATTTTCATCAGGCTTTAGGTGAACAGTGAAGGCCTCTCTCATCTCTCTCACCTCATCAAAGATAACTTCGATTTCAACCATGTGCTGGGTTTCTCCTTCCTTAAACTCAATTTCTACAAATGCAAAAATCACAGATTTCAATTGTTTGCATATGAATATGAGAAGTTTTCTATCAAGCTTTTTAAAACTGTGACCTACAATGAGAAATACGTTTTTCACTGTGGTTCAGTATATTTGGGTGTGTGTGCAAAATGAAATCAAATGTTTAACGAACACCATCTATTTTTACTCATTTTACTCTAATATTTTCTTTTTTTCCCAAGACTTTAATTTCATTTTTATTTTTTATTTCCATAGTGTTTTGGGGAATCAGGTGGTGTTTTGTTGCATGAATACATTCTTCGGTGGTGATTTTTGAGATTTTGTTTCACCCATCACCTGAGCAGCACACACTGTGCTGGATTTGTAGTCTTGTATCCGTCACTTCCCTCCCACACTTTCCCCAGAGTCCGCAAAGACCACTGTATCATTGTTATGCCTTTGCGTCCTCATAGCTTAGCTCCCACTTATGAGTGAGAATATACAATGTTTGGTTTTCCTTTCCTGAGTTACTTCACTTAGAATAATGGTCTCCAGTTCCATTGAGGTGGCTACGAATGCCGATTTTATCTGAAGGAAAATTTTTTTTTTTATTTTTAATTTTTTATTTTTTTTTATTGCATTTTAGGTTTTGGGGTACATGTGTCGAGCATGCAATACAGTTGCATAGGTACACACATGGCAGTGTGTTTTGTTTGCTTTTTCCCCTTCACCCAATTTTAATAATAAGACATTGGTTTCTTGGCCCATAGTTTGAAAAGATGCTGAATTACAGTAGGCACAATCAGTAGTTCTAATATTGGGACATAATCTAAAAAATCAATCTCTTATTCTCCAGAATTTCTAAACCAATAGGACTCAAGATAAATGAATGTGATCATAGGTATAATAGAGTGTGAATGGGATTTACATTATATATATATATGGATATATAATTGTTGAGTTTTTTTTTTATATAACATCACATTATATTTAAAAAGACTTCTTTTTGGGCTAACATCCAGAATCTGCAAAGAATTAAAACAGATTTACAAGAATAAAACAAAAAGGGCTTCTGTCGTGAGTGGCACACATAGAGCGACTCGATTGCTCTTCGTGGGGAATCCACATGAAGAGATTTCAGAAGCATAATTTTTTGGTATTTGGGCAGCTGGTGATCATTGTTCCTGGCACCCTCTAAAAGAAAAAAAAAGAAAGAAACAAACAAACCCATTCAAAAGTGGGCAAAGGAAATGAATAGACATTTTTTAAAAGAAGACATTTATGAGGTCAAAAAACAGGAAAAAATGCTAATCATCACTGGTCATTAGAGAAATGCGAATCAAAACAAGTCAAATACTGCTTGTTCTCACTTGTAAGTGATAGTCAAATAATGCGTACACATGGACATCAGGTGTGGAATGATTAACACTGAAGACTTCCGAGGCTGGGAGAGTGTAAGGGGCCGGGTATTGAGAAATTACTTAATGAGTACAATGTACATTATTTGGGTGATGGATATACTAAAAGACTAGACTTCACCACTACACAATATAACAATGTAGCAAAATTGCACTTGTACCCCTTAAACTTATACCCACCCAAAAGAGTGTTCTATTTTTATTTTAATTGGATGTTCCCCTTCTTTTACTTAAGGGCACTGGCACTAGCCCACAGAGTTGGCATGACCCATCAGGAGACAGGTGCTGGGAGCCCCGTACCTTCTGACACAGGGTGGTAGTCTTCTCCAGAGGTGGCGGAACCATCCTTGGTGTGGACTCTCACGATGGAAACCTTTGAAGTGTCTCCTTGGCGAATCACTGGAATTCTTATAACCACTGACTCTCCAGGTTCTTTGGGTTCAGTGACACTAAATTTGGTTTCTCCAAATTTAATAACAGTCTCTAAAATTGTGGGAAACACAGACAAATGAAACTGTTAGTAAAGGGAATGCTTCCCCTCATTTCTAATGTTTATTTCCATGTGGGAGGGGCTTAGTGACTATTCCATCCCTGGCTTCTCTCTGTCCCTCACTCAAAATTAGTGGTGCGAGAACGATCCAAGATGGCCGATCGCTAACATCCCGGGATTGCAGCTCTCAGGGAAGGCGCAGAGAACTAGAGGACGCCACACTTTCAGACAAAGTCTGGTCGCTCACGGAGCAGAAGATCCCCCAGTGGTGGAAACACACGAGTCGCCAGCGCGACTCTCGTGGTCGGTGCAGCGGTTCCGCCGGCACCTCTACGCGGCAGCGCTTGGCGCAGAGTAAACGGGACCGGTTCCCCTTCTGACCGAGGTTTGGAGCCGGGGAAGGCAGAGTCGCCTACTATGGAAACAAGAAGGAAGCCAGACAGGAGAATCCTGGGCAGAAAAGCACCATCAGTTTTAACTCCGCTGCTCTGGCCCTGGGAACTAACAACCTGGACGTCCACTCAAGAGACCTAATCTGAAAGTTGGTAATTTCAAAGACGACAGGAGGATAAATTTACAATGACGGGAAGAAACAAGCGTAAAAAAGCTGAGAATACTCAAAGTCAGAACGCCTCTCCCTCTAAAGATGATCGCAGTTCCACATCAACAATGGAACAAGGCTTGATGGAGAACGAGCGCCTCCTGATGACAGAATCACTCTTCAAGGAATGGATAATAACAAACTTCGGTGAGTTAAAAGAACATGTTGTAGCCCAACGTAAAGAAACTAGGAACTTTGAAAAAAGGTTTGATGAAATCCTATTGAGAATAGACAACTTAGAGAGGAGTATGAGTGAATTAATGGAACTGAAGAATACAATACAGGAACTCCGAGAAGTATGCACAGGTTTAAACACTCGAATTGTTCAAGCAGAAGAAGGGATATCAGAGGTCAAAGTCCAACTTAATGAAAGAAAACGTGAAGAAAAGATTAGAGAAAAAAGGATAAAAAGGAACGAGCAAAGTCTCCAAGAAATGTGGGACTATGTGAAAAGACCAAATTTACGTTTGATAGGTGTACCTGAATGCGACGGAGAGAATGACTCCAAGCTGGAAAATACCCTTCAGGATATTATTCAGGAAAATTTTCCTAAACTAGAAAAGCAGGTCAACATTCAACCCCAGGTAATACAGAGAACACCACAAAGATATTCCTCAAGAAGAGCAACCCCAAGGCACATAATCGTTAGATTCACCAGGGTTGAAACGAAGGAGATGATACTAAGGGCAGCCAGAGAGAAAGGTCAGATTACCCACAAAGGCAAGCCTATCAGACTTATAGCAGATCTCTCAGCAGAAACTCTACAGGCCAGAAGAGAGTGGGGGCCAATATTCAACATCCTCAAAGAACAGAACCTTCAGCCCAGAATTTCATATCCAGCCAAACTAAGCTTCACAACTGAAGGAAAAATAAAATCTTTTATGAACAAGCAAGAACTCAGAGATTTTATTACCACCAGGCCTGCTTTACAAGAGCTTCTGAAAGAAGCATTACACACAGAAAGAAACAACCAGTATTAGCCTTTCTAAAAATACACCAAAAAGTAAAGAGCACCAACATAAAGAAGAATTTACACGAACAAATGGATAAAACAGCCAGTCAACATCAAATGGCAGTAACCCTAAATTTAAATTGACTGAATTCCCAATCAAAAGACACAGCCAAAACCCAACGGCATGTTACATCCAGACCTGTTTCACATGCAAGGATACACAAAGACTCAAAACAAAGGGATGGAGAAAGATTTACCAACCAAATGGAGAGCAAAAATAAATAATAAATAAATAAAAAGCAGGAGTTGCAATTCTTGCATCGGATAAAATAGATTTTAAAGCAACAAAGATATAGTGGTAAAAGGATCAATGCAACAACAAGAGCTAACGATCCTAATACCCAGATAGGAGACTTAGATTCAATGAGACAAAAAATTAATAAGGATATCAAGGACTCGAACTCAGATCCAGAACAAGTAAGCTTAATAAATATTTATAGAGCTCTCCACTTCAAATACACAAAATATACATTCTTGTCAATACCACATCACACCTACCCATTAGTTTAAATGAAACATTGATTAGCCATTATTAATACCCAATTTTTTTCAAAATAAAGCAATATTTCCATTTACTCTCCCTCTTTCTCTTCCTCTTTCTTCCTCTCCTTTACTTATTTATTTTTTTTTCTTTCCTTCTCTCAAAAAAAAGAAATCAACTTGTAAACCTCTAGATCCAGGTCGGCAATGTGTCTTTCATTGCTTGATTTCCTTTCTTCCCTTACCTCCCTCCCTCCCTCCCTCCCTCCCCGCTTCCTCCCTTCCTTCCTTCCTTCATCCCTTCCTTCCTCCCTACCGTCCTTATTCCCTTCCTTTCTGCCTTCCTCCCCCCCCCAAAAAAAAAAAATTAGTGGTGCGTGTGGAAGGAAAAGCAGGCATGTGCTGTCCCGCTCCTTCCCAGGATTTAACCAGCCCCCAGTGAGCATGTGCTCCCAGCTGTCTATATGTGCCATAAATTACATGTGAGCAGGTCACTGAAGGTGGATGGGGAAGGAGGAAATGGCTAATACCCTGTACTTGAGGGTGTGTACAGAGGAGAGGGCAGCTATGGATGTTTGGTATTCAGCGTTTGGATATAAGCCATATTCTCCAAAATTAATTTTATCAGTTTTAATGGTTTATTTTGTTTCTCATTTGTTTGTCTTTTTTCTATTTCTCAATTGCCTAAGAACCCTGGTCAGAAAGCGGGGGAGGTGGGGAGATTTTTCTGAGCCACTTAAAACCTTGACTTGGATGGATTTTAGTTCCCAATTTACAGTTGAACACACACAAAAAGTGACTTCTTACTATCAGCATCATCTCGGATCCTTATGAGAGTTTCGTTTTGGTCACCAACTGCAGCCCCAAAGGGAGAGTTGCTCTGTGGAGTGCCGAGTACCAGGCGGAGTTCCTCGACCTCCTCATAGAGCCTGTCATCCATCAGCTCAAGGATGCAAGGCTTTTCCGTCTCACCTGGAACAATAATGTCAGCAGGTTAATCATGTCCCATAGGAATATATCTACAACTAGGAATGTGAGCACCATAGGGGCAAGAATGTTGACTTTGAACTGCTCTCTATCAGTTCAATACATAGTGTGTGTTATATAATAAGCTTTCAATCGATGCATGTTGAATAAGTGAGTAAATATTTAAGTATATGCAATGATCAGTTCTTATTTGTATGGGGAATTTCTTTAATTTCTGTCTTTAAGCTCTGCCACACATCTTAGAAAACCAGGGGAAAAGTGCAAATGCCGATTTTGTTGATGAATTTCTAGCATTCCATTAAAATAGCGAGATTAGCAGCCTTGAACTTGTTGGTCTTTGTTAATTTGAACTCAACACTAGTTTCTAGTATTAGCAGCTTTGGACTTACTAAACAAATCATTGAGCCAAGTTGAATTCCCAGCACTGTAAAATCTGTACATTTGATATGCTCTTGTCCACTGAATGAATAAGTTTTAAATTAACCATATATCACATCACTGGAAATCAATAAGTTAATGCAGATACCATAAAGGGCATTCATTCAACTTGTTAAAAATCGATATCACTTTCCTTATTTAGTGCACATAAAACCATGCCATAAGCCTGTTCATATCAAAGAAGTTGTATTTCCCTGACATATATTTCTGAGTAAAAATGTGGCTGCTTCAAATTTCTCAAAGAAATTTCAAGTGAAGCTTACCAGGGAGGAATGTAATGATGGAGATATCAGTGTTTGGGCGTTCTTCAAAGTCCATCATCACCTGTGCAGACCCCTGCCGGGTGTAGCATCTCACTGAAGATCTGTACTGGACATCCCCACTCCTGTGGATCATTGTGACTATCTGCCCATCACTTTCACTGCCAGTATATGTTCGTTCTTTGAACTGCATCTTCGGCACTGCAAAAACAAACAAGAGATCGAAGTGAACAGAAATTTCCTTGTGGAAAATGGCATTTCAGAAGACGTGGTTTGGTGGAAAGAATAATGAAAAGTGAGTGAGAAGAACTGGATTCTGTCTCCGTTCAGTCACTTGCCAGTGTTTTGCCTTGAGCCAATGACTTAAGAGTTACCTCCGACATTTCGCTCTGCCTGTTTGGTAAAGTAAGGCTATACAATGAAATGCTAACAAGCGGATAAAACCACAAACCTTAAGATACTTGAATCTATATGTTTCCTAGTCATGAGCCTTTCAGAATTTCTTGACATGAAGAACACGAAATATTGTGCACATAATTATAAGCATAGTTTACTCGGCTCATGTTGGGAAAGTTGACACTGTGTGTGTGTGTGTGTGTGTGTGTGTGACAGAGTGAGAGACAGAGAGAGATTTTTTAGGTGACACCTATGCTAGGTCAATGATTTATAGAGATCATTGACAATAGGTGAGACTCCCCCAAACACTGTTGGAATCATCACGATTGAAGAGTGTTCAGAATTCCCTTGTGATGACGTGTCAGAGAGCTCTGCCATGTGTCCAGCAAAGGTTGTCCTAGAACAGCATTTTTGGCACATTATTAGAGAAATGTTACTAGTGTGGAGGGGAAGGAGATGAAAGAAAGTGTCTTGTGCTGGGAAGTGGAGAAAGATCATTGACACTCAAGGGTCTGTGCACTTCCACATGGTTCCACCCATCTGTGGTGAGGAGAATTCTTGAGGTACAGCAAGATACTGATGACAACATCACTTTTTTTTTCTTAAAAGTTTGAGAGGAAGAATAGAAGTTTTATTCTGAGACTGTCTAATTCTGTCAAAATCATCAGGAAGAGAAAGGTGTGGTCAGGTAGGGTATTTGAATGAGTTGGACTGTGTCCTCCTCAAATTCATATGGTGAAATCCCCACCCCCAATACCTGAGGATGTGATCTTATTGGTAAGTTGGGTCTTGGCAGAAGTAATTAAGTTAAAATGAGGTCATTAGGATAGGCTCTAATCCAATATGACTGATGTCCTCATGAAAAGGGGAAAAATTAGACAGAGACACATACAGGGCACATGGTGTGAAGAGACATGGGGACAAGATGGCCGTCTTCAAGCAAAGAAGAGAGACCTGGAACATCCTTCCCTGATGGCCTTCAGAAGGAAGCCTGGCAACACCTTAATTTTGGACTTCGAGCCAACAACTATGAGATAATAAATTTCTGTTTTTTAAGTCACCCGACAGTAGACTTTGTTACGGAAGCTCTAGCAAACAAATATATATATATATATATATATATAGTTTATCATCTTGCTTATCACATATATATAAACCTTAGCTTGTCATTTCACTTATCATTGTGAAATTAATAAACACTCACAATCAGAGACAGAGTCATTTATGGACACTGTGGCTTTGCTGGGCTCGCCAAGGGCTGCGTTCATAGGCATACGAAGCACCAGTTCAAATTTCTCAATTCCCTCCAGCACTGGTTGTCCTAGATCATCCAGAATGACAACACGAATGGGCTGCATGTTGACTCCAGGTGCAAAATCTAAATTACGACTGATGCCCACATAGTCTGTTCCAGCTATGACAGTAACAAAAAAATATTCAGTTGGGGACTAATTAAATAGCAAAAAATTATTAGACATACATTGTGTAATTATATTTTTTTTAAAAATAGAGATCAGCATAACCCTACAGAAAAATACATTTAATAAAATGCAAAAGATTAGTTGCTACATAGCTACATTGGTGGTATAGCAAAGATCAGCTGCTGAACTTTATCTATGTTTCATGGTTAGACTTTGGATTAGTTATAGTTCCTCTGTGTTATAGTTCTTCTAACTTTAGTTTGAAAATTCTCTAATAAGGGTAATAAAAATCAGGCTTGGAAAAATCGGCATATCAGTCAAATATATGATCCTCATAAATTACATATGAAATATAGACATTTAGAATTTTGTTAACATTAATTAAGTATTTATATATCTTTCCTGGAGCTACCATAGGACATCCTATTAGGTATACGGTTGCCTGGTAAAGCAACACATTTACGGTACCAGCTCTGCCCTCACGCCACCCACCCTTGTCCCAGGCAGAGAGAGGCTTCTACTCTCAGGGGTATATTTGATCTTTAATTTAATATTTTTCAGATAAAGGGAGCTACCTGCAGTGTCGATACCTCCATTTATATCTAAAGTAGTTAAAAACAAAACTGTCTTAATCTGTAGCTACTACCTCCACAAAGACTGACAGTGGTGGGCAACAGCCGAATAATGCTGCTTCTTTCTCTGTTTTTATAGCTTCTGCTCTTCTGACTCTCGTTCTGTATCCACTTTGCCTCTGAATGTGCAACTTTGCTTGAGTATCTCTGTCTTTAATTCATTTTGTAGAAAGTCCGTGTCTCCTTGTGGTCCTTTTTACACTTTTTCTTTTCCTCTGCTTCTTCCCCTTTGCTCTTATTTCTCTCTCTCTCCCCCCCCCCCATCCCTGATTTGAATCCTTCTCTTAAAAATGACTAATTTAGTTAAACAAATGTTTACTGGGCACCTGCTACATGCAAAGCACCACACTGCTTCCACTACATTAAAAAAGTTAAAACCTGAGAGTGACTTTTAAAATGGTATAACCTGTGTTGCTTTGTGTGATGAATGTACGATGTGTGTATGACATGCCTGTGTGTTCTCACGTGTGTGTACTTGAGAAAGTTTGTATTGTTGGTCATTTAGGAAAAAAAAAAAAGGAAATTTTGAATTCTATCCTTGCTGTAAACTTTATAATCAACTTTTTGGAGATGTAGATTCTGGAATAAAAGATGTGCTAGTTAGTACATTTTTTATAATGAAGTATGGAAAAAACCTTTTGGATCTGAAGTATTTATAGGGACACATGGTTAAAATAAGGAGACAGCCAACTGAAGACACATGCCTGCATAATACTTAAATGTCATAGGTTTCTGTGGGGACAGATTATGTGCAGCAAGATGATTTTCCTGCACAGAAAGCCACAACATTCAACAATATTAGATTTTCTGAGAGTAGAAAACCACTTCATGGAAACATAGGCCTTAGTATATAGATCCTTTGAGTCTTGTGTTTGCAACCTAGCTTCAGTTTCACGGCGCTTAAATGTGCTTTCCCAAAGTAGTAAATAAAGCCTACATTTACCTCCTAGAGTAATAACTTCAGCAAAAACAATACACTCAGCCAAACTGCTTTAATAGAAGTGAAGTATTTCAGCTTTAAATGAATTTGTGCCATGGTCACTGAAAACTGCAGAACAACGGAAAGAACCAGCAGGAAACTGCTCACCCTCTGCAGAGGGAGGATCTGTTTTCCGAGATCTCACTGTGACACTAGAGGACGTGGACAGGTCCGTGCCCGTTCTCCACACCCGCACGTCCACGGAACCGGCGTTCTCATCCACGGAGTATTCCACATCGCTGAAGTGGAACATGGGTTCTGTTAAGAATGGAACACAAATCATTTCTGTTATTTTCCATTTTTCGCATCCAGCTCTATCGGCATGATTCCAAAGAAGAGTGTGCTTCCTGGTAGGGACTCCTTACATCATCACACTTTTTCCTTTTAGTAAGATAACGTCTCTTCCATCTGTACTTTTCAGGTCAAAATATTACTGCTCAACAATCAAACATATCTACAGTAAAGTGCCTAACAAAATATCTTTGTCTTGAGGCACGAGTTAGTTTGTCCTTCATATGTAGGATAAGTGGCTTCTAAAAGTGCCTCTGGAAACTTAGTCGAAAAAATAGAACTAAATGAAACAAAACACACGCCTGATTATTAATATTTTTTTAGTTTGGCCCAGTGGCTTCCTTGCTTATGTCCTACCGAGTTTCCACTCTGGAGCAGAGCTAAAACTTTTTTTCATGATGCCATTTTCTGGCCCATTAGATTTGAGCTTAATTCAGTGTATATGGGCCTGTTTTAATCACGACAGTTAGAACCTATTGTCTGTAACTAGACTGAAGATTGCTAGTCCTGAAGACTGCAGGGCCTGACTACCAGTTACTTGTAGAGTACTGGAGATGCTCTATAAACCAAGTTTTATAACTAAATAAATAATCTCATACGGAGAGGTTAATATTAATTCTAAACACACATGAAAATGAGGCAAATTCGAACACTATACTAGGGCACATGCTTTGGGGACTTTGTATTTTTTTCCAGTACTGGTGATAAATTTGAATTGATCTAATCATTGTTTCTGCCTCACTCAACTTGTGACCAATGGTTTACCTTGTGATAGAGCTGCTGGAAGTCTGAGGTTTAGCAGTCAGCTGACCAATGAAAAAACAGATTTAATTTGTGAGCATACTGTTAAAAACATAATTCATCTTGAGATATACAGAGGCTCACAGGAAGTTGCAAAAGTAGTATATACTTCACTCATTGTGAGCTGATTTTTATAAGTATTAAGAAAGATAAATTATATCACTCAGAATGAAGATTAATGATAATAGTTACCATATGTGAACAGACACAGGTGAACGTACACACTTAAGGTGGACAACCCTTTGACTTGACACATTCTAGTCATTTGTCTCCAGTTTTACGAGATTCAAAAGGGCTGAATCTAAAAGAACATGCAACTCACATCACTGTTCCTTAAGAAGGAAGGTCACTAAAAAGATGATATCATGTTTCAGAGCAACTAATTGAATTCCCACACATAACAAGTCAAGCAAAAGTCTACAGCACTGGCTCACAAAACCACTTGGAAAGCCAAAGAAAATTCATTTGATGCATTGTTCGAATTGAGTATGATTTCTTTATTTTCCAATAAATTACCTTTATTTAAACTAGAAAAATTTATTTTCTTTGTTTCTTCACATGGTGGACATGAATAAATCATACAGCTTCCTCAAATTCTTCAACAGTACAAAACCAATCTTAGAAATTCTGTTCACATATTTTGGTTCAGGGGGTGATAAATGTCCCTACAGCATAGTTTACCTCCTTCTTATCCTTTTAACTTGGACGGTGCTAGGGCACACGAGTGTACGTGTACAGATGAAGGTGTTATCTGTTCACCTCAGTCAAAACAGACCTCAACTGCAAGCCAATACATTCCTGACATTTCTCACACCGAGGTAGGGGGCGAAGGTGAAGACAGAGCAGCTCTGAAAATGCATCTTCTGACCAGATGGCCAAACCAGGCACATCTGTAAGTCTTTTAAAAGGCTTCCATAATTATCGCGAAGGCTTGATCACCTGCATCCAACAAGTGATCTCGTAAGTCTCTTCACATTCCTGGCAAACTACATCATCACCCAAATTAGGTTTCTGAGTCATGGGAGAGAGCTGTGAAATGCAGTTAAGGGAGGAGGACCTCTTATTTAACAAGATACCTCCCCATCTTCCCATCTCCCAACTCCTCACAAACATATAACAAAAAAGGAACACAATAAAATCATGTGAGTGAATAGACAACTGTGAAACACCAAATAAGCTACACACTGGGGACCAAATGGTATGTTGCATGTTTCAGACTCATTCTATCAACTCTAATACAGGTGTTTATATTTTACAGCTTAATGTTTAGTTTTTAATTTAAAAAAATGGAAGTCTTACATATGTAGTACTCTGAAAACTTTTGTCATTCAAAATAAAAATGAATGAGTTACCATATATGTACAGACACATGTGTTTTATATGCGTGTGTCTATATTTGTGCGAGTATGTATGTCAGCAAGACAGAGACAGAGAGAGAAAGGTTGGGGTGGCATGGCACGTGACAACGCTGGAAAAATAAAAATTATGTGAATGATGCAAACAACATTATTGTGTTGCCTATTGCATAATATAGTGTTATCTCCTGTAGGAAGAAGGAGGGGTGATGGAAATGGGATTTCAACCCTAAACCTTTCAACCTTAATACAGTGCTAATAAAAGGAGAACATTTAATTAACTACTTCCTTAAAGCTTTTGATTATGAGTAGATTTATTTATATGATTCTTCTCCCTCTTTGTGCTCCACTCATGATGATTGAAAAACCGGTCAAACAATCAATTGCAATTACTGAAGTTAAAGTTTGAAGTGATTATTATGAGATGAAGACACATTCAATAGTTTCTATATATAAAAAAAGAAATTCTGCTAACTACCTAGTTTCTTGTGTCTGAATAAAAAATGGCTAAACATCAGCATATTTTTTTTCAGGGTTAGATGAGTGAGAACTATAAAGAAGTAAGAATTATGTTTATTTCAATTTCTCATATCTTTTCAAAATATCTAAAATTTGAATGTTGTTTATAATCATTACCACTGGGAGAAAACCTTATGTAATATGAATGAGTTAAAGACACATCAAGGAGTGAGTTGAATTATAGATGTCACTTAAGAAAAGTATGTTCCTGGGACATTTTAATGAGTACTAAGCTAGAAGAAGGAATAAAATAATGAATGGGTGAGATTGTCATGCCTTTGAACGTTATCTCTGCAAAAATCCAGAATAACTGCTTGTCCCAAAAAATTATTATTTATGAGTAGGACTTTTAACTCACCTCTTTCTTTGGTAAACTTTTCTTTTTGGCCTAGGAATTTGGTTTCTTTTAAGAAAATAAGTAAACTGAAGATCTTTATAGATCGGTTATGGAACTACCCCTACCCCTATTGCAACTTAAAGTACATTAGAAGTCTATTCAGTTCTTTAATGCAGTTCTTAAATACACACTGTGCCTTGCACCGTGTTTAAATTCACACTTAATGGATAAAAGAGTCAGGGGAGGGTATTATTACCTGGAATGAGAGGATGATCAAAGAAACCACACATCTCACAGCCTACACCCACCCAAGACCAAGAAACAGCCATCGCTCATCACTCCACCACCCTCAGATGACACTCCAGAATGCAGAGGAAAGATAAGTTTATCCATATTGTCTGTGAGCAGTGCAAGGGAGGTTTTGAATTGGCCTAGTGAGTGTGAAATTCATAGGCAAGCCAAAGTCCACACTCTATCCCTTGAAGTCTTTATACTTTTAAATGAAGGACATAGGTCAAGGCATTGACTACAGAAAAGTCTATTTTAGCTCATTAAACATAAATGTGCTTTTCCAAGTTGGGGATAATTTCACTACCCACAGCACAGAAAGGCTTACATTTATTTCCTACAAATGTAGAAACGGTGGCCAGGTGGTGAGCAATATAGCACACATACCTGCAATAAAGACAAAGAGAAAACAATTGAAGTTTCCTTCCCAGAGGGAAAAAGTGAATTTTTTTTTCAGTGTCTAGATGGATGTTTACAGTTACAGTGTGTCTCATGAGATGAAAGGAAGAGGTGCCAGCAGTAATTGCTATCTGGAGCCAAATCTTATTTACTCATGTGCACATAGACCATCATTCAAGTAAGCTTTGTAGATCTAACCAATGTGTTTGCTTAGAACTGAATGAAATAAAAGCTTTAATGCTGCTTTTTCGTCCAGTGCTGAAAATAATACAAAGGAATTGTTTCCAAATGAAATCTTTCTTCTGAGATTTGGACCCTGAAAACTTACTGCCTAATCAAGCCATGTCCCCTGGGCACCTCAAGGTGAACTTCTCCATAATGGAGTCCACAGGGTCACCTCCACTCCCCTTCCCCTGGTTTCTCTCTGTCTCACTGCCACTAATCTAGCTGCAGGCGGTAACACCTTCCATTTGAATTTTCCCAGCAACCACTCAACTAGGCTCCTAGGGAAAGTGATATCCTTCAAAGCGAATCTCATCCTGGTACTCCCTTTGCTGAGAGCCTCTCAACTTTCCTTACTGCTCTTGGGATTATTCACATGCTAGTTAACATGATTTACACAAGACACTGAAACATTTGGGCTTTGTTTGCCTTTTCTTTTTTTTTTTTTTTTGAGACGGAGTTTCGCTCTCGTTTCTCAGGCTGGAGTGCAATGGCGCAATCTCGGCTCATTGCTACCTCCGCCTCCTGGGTTCAGGCAATTCTCCTGCCTCAGCCTCCCGAGTAGCTGGGATTACAGGCATGCACCACCATGCCCAGCTAATTTTTTTGTATTTTTAGTAGAGACGGGGTTTCACTATGTTGACCAGGATGGTCTCGATCTCTTGACCTCGTGATCCACCCACCTCGGTTGGTTTGCCTTTTCAACCTCATATTTCAACCCTTTTCTACTAAACAATCCAGTGTCTTGAATGCCTCAGATGTGCTCCTCCCAACCTTTGGTCTATGGCTGCTGCTGCTCTGAATGCTCCTCCTACCTCCTCATTCAGATACCTCCTGCTCTGCTCATCTTCCAAGCTTCTGCAGAAAAGTCACTTCTGTGGGGAGCACCCTGCTTTCCCCTATCAAAGCCCTTGCTCATCTTCTGCTGTCACTGTGAGTATGTCCCCTACTGTCTCTGAACTCTGTAAAGGGTGGCATCAAGCTCCTCTATTCACTGGCACTTCCCTAACATTAGTTTAATCAGTGCAATAGGTGAGCAATCAGCA